TGTAGTAGCAAAAGTGATGACAGTCGTCGGGCCGCCATTAGGACCGGGCGGAAAGGTGCTTAGGCCCGTAGTTGACGCAAAAGACGTGACCGTTACCGTGCCTGGAGGCCCAGTTGCAAAGGTAATGACAGTTGGGGGGCCACCGTTCGGGCTAGGAGGCAGAGTTGTTAAGCCGGTCGTGGAGGCATAAGAGGTGATCGTGACTGCAGCAGGGGGTGTCACGAAGGTTACTATAGTGGGCGAGCCTCCGTTCGGTCCGGGAGGAATAGTTGTCAACCCGGTGACTGAAGCGGTCGAAGTTACGGTCACTGGAACCAACGGGGTGGTGGCAAAAGTGATGACGGTAGGAGGACCTCCATTTGAACCAGGAACTGTGGTAAGGCCGGTAGTCTTTGCCGACGAGGTCACCGTGACAGGGCCTGTCGCAAAGGTGACCACGGTCGATGGGCCACCGTTTGGACCAGGCGGAACAGTAGTCAAGCCGGCGGTGCTGGCGAGGGAAGTGACGGTGGGCAGAGGTGGAACATAGGTGACGATAGTGGTCGGATCGCCGGGATTCTTTGGGGGAATAGTCGTAGCTCCCGTCTGAGTGCCGGTCGAAGTGACGGTAATAATATCAGGAGGATTAGAAGTGGTGTAAACTATCGTTGCCTTTGACGTGGTCCCACCCTGGACAACATCGGTGGTGGTCACCCACTCAGTGTAGGTCCTGCAAGATGTTAAGGAATGTTGTTCTCTTCGACCCAAGAGTCTGAGATAGATGACATACCTAGTCCTGGTCGAGAGGGAGATGCTCCCGGAACATTGAATCTCGAACGGTTGCTGTTCGATGATTACTTTGGCATCTGTTGGACATGGTGGGTTACTGGAGAGTGCGGCGGCGTTGGCAATCCCCGTCCAGTGGACGACGAGAGACAGTGGGATTTTCCACCTCATCTTGTCGTGTAACTGGCGAATCCGACTGTTGCGATACTTACCTTGAGCTTCTGATGATGCAGTAGAGGAAGCTTGATGTCGTTGATGCTCTGGCTGAGTAAAGGCTCCTACGAGAGAGATTACGGTCGTCTTTTAATCTCAAGTTGTTGCTCGTCGTTGTGTAGAACAAATTGGAGATGTTTCCATGCGATACGCCATCCTCGCAGAATTCCGCAAACGTTCAACATGATTATCGTTCTTTTGCCTTGCGAACAAACTAATTAGCCAACCCAGCTAGACGTTGCCACCAGGAACAGCAGACATGCTGTGTTTCTCGGCCGGAGAAGGTCCTTCCCGGTCTTCCTAGACATCTCTTGGACGCTGAGGCCTTCGGTCGCTTCAGAAGATGTTGTCTGTTTGCGTCATGGAACTGTATGCTGTCTGGCATTGGTGATCAGCCTGTCCCAAGACTCTAATTGGGTGTCACTCAGTTACACTGACGAAGCAAAAGTCCATGGTTGAGAGGCAAAGTTCGTATCCCTATGCAGGTTTGGTTGTCAGGTAGCTAATACTTCTTGCTCCAAAAGCACGTTAGTTCCCATAAGCGTGGTAACGTTATTATCTTGAACAAGACTGGATCAGACTGTGACTGTGATTGACTAGACTGTCATGGTACCTGGTGCAAAAGACAACGAGAGATATTGAGGGTGTACGGTTGAATAGTAGTGGAGTGTACAGTGTCCGGGATCTAATAACGCTAGTTCGCACGCTTGAAGGCTTGACTATAGAAAAACTTAGCGTTTCGCTAGCCTGTCAGCATTCTTCTTCGAAAGACTAGGTCAAAATAGGCAAGCCCTTTGACGCCTCGGAAGCACCGGCGAGATGACTAAATGACCAAAACAAGTTGGTGTTGATGCTGCATGCCGATATGGCAACTCTATTCAGCAGAGTTATAGGAAGCCGGTTGTTACAAAATGAGATATGTAGAAAACAGCCTTTGACAATTGTTAGAGCGTTGTACCTGCATGAATCAAGCACGCTTCATAATCTGTTGGTCATACTTTAATCCAAGAACATTTCGTTCCTTATCTAATATCTTAACACCTAGAATTATTTGTACATACACTCAAAAGAAGTACATGAAACTCGGCTCAGTCGAGACCGAACTCGGAAAATTTTTGCGCGGCGTGAATCCTTTGGAATCAGTTAATGTCTTGAGCCCGAAACAAGGGTTGAAGGGAGCCCGTTCAACATGACGCGGGAGTTGAGTGCCAAGGGCCTGGCTGACGGTGCTGAGCAAAGTTTATGAACCACCATGTACTTGATTGCAATGTACAGACGAGATACAAGGCTTGCTAGTTGGATCAATGTCTTTGTGATCGAGTGGTCGTGCGGGGGGCGTGTGGGGTGCCGTCGCTCTTCGGAATAGGAGCAGGCTCCGAAGTAGCAGCCAAGGGACCGTCAATGTCGCTAATCTCGTGCCCGGATTAGGTGTTTTTGATCGCCCACAACACATGCCGTGCCCTATTTGTTAGATCCCAGATCCGGAGCATGCCAAACCTCCCCCTTAGCACAAATGAAGCATGGGGGAAAGATGGCTTGATACCCGCTCTCTGGTGGATTGACTGGATCGTCTAGCGGCTCCAGCGAGGACGGGACGCACCGCTCGCATACAGACTAGTCTCGTGAGGGTCCACTATGTGTAAAACTTCGCTACATGCAGATGAGGAATTCGGTCCTTGGACCTGTGTTGAACATGCTGATTTTATGATTTCGGATTTTAGCCATGTATGCTGACTATGAGACAATACCGATAATCCCGCCGACGCAATTGGTCATGTTGATGTGATCAGGGATATTGTGAGACTGCGGTCCACTTGAGCAGTAAAGTTCGCGAAGCTTTTGTAAAAGATTGATTGGGCCTTATTGCTGACAATCACAGCCTCTTGCGGGCCGACTTATGTGTAAGTTGTGGATTGATCAAGCGGTTCCGGCCCCAGTCAGTACTTAGTGATAGGACGCTCGCCACATTCTTCTTCTGACATCACGACAAGATGATCTCACTAAGATGGCTGCTTGCCTTTAGTAACTTTAATGGAAAGCAGCAAGCCCTGTGCTTTCCATCATTCCTCAATATCTGCATCCTCCCAAGGCTGAGTGGATTACGTCCGAGAATCCGGTCATTCAGGCATCCGACTGGTGGTTGCACTGCCCGGCACACGTAGCAGCCGTGCCGCTGGGAACACTAGAGCCGAGAAAAAAGGTAATGCCGAAGTCCCAGAAAGGGCACCATGACGAGATTTTCAGGTATACCCATTATCGGCAAACAGAACGCTGTCGTCCAAATGGGGAAAGCTGACTGGCCTCCTTGGAAGATAAACTTCGGCAATTAAGCCATCTCCAGAAGTTAGCTCGACCCAGAGCAGAAATAGCGTCAGTAGCGCGAACACTGTGCGGAGACTCAACTGAGACAATGTGCCGCGACGTTGAGTGCCAACAATCGGCGGGCGTTCTGTGTGGGCGATCACCCAGATCCAGTCTCAGGCACGGGGATTCTTAGTTCCATTGCGTCGGCCAGAAGCGTTGTGCTGTTAGCCGTTTGGTAGCCAGAGTAAGTGTGAGGTTTCGCCGCCACATTTCAGTTTGTGTCAGCTAACTCAGTAAAATCATCTGGATTTGCTGGAATTTACCAAATTTGCCGCCGCATATACCATCCGTTACCTATGGGAACAACTTCGGATTTTAGTAATTATCTTATAGCAGAGGATATTTCGGAATCTTTAAAGTGAAGGAATAAAGACACTAGACTTGGCATTCCTGTTTAGGCTGTTTCTAGATGTTGCATTTTTAAATACGTTAACTAACTCATCGGTCGTGGAATCAGGATCCCGAAATCTTCTCACACCGGCCTAACCCTTGGATCTATTCGGAAATTTCAACCTCTCCTATTGACGCTTGCGGTCAAATCCAAGCAACTAACAACGTAGCATCGCGTTCAAAGAATAAGCTACTTTGTCTAAATCCTCGAGCTCAGCTAGCAGAACATAGTTCGCAGAAGCTTCTCTCACTCCAATACGAGGTTTGGTGTCTCGTGCTGGGCTTTGACCCCACAGGAGGGCAAAAGCTTCGGGAAGAATACCTAGCAGCGAACGACCTTATGGCTTGTAGCCTAAAAAGGCTTACAAGAGTGACAGTTCAGCTTTACCTCTATGGTGTCGACCTGCAATACGCTCAAGCTTCGAGCCAGGAACTCTACGTCCGTTCATAATCTGCAAGCAGCTCCTAGAAGACCGGGGTGCATGAGCTTAGCATGATGGAGGAATCAGATCGGCGTGGGGTACCAGGCAGGGATCACAAGTCTTTGATCCAGCTCGTGCTTAGCTAGTAGTATCCCGAACGAATATTTCCAGACTAACAGTCATGCCAAGCGCGAGGGCCGGCATCCTTTCGACCCTGCATAGTCTTGTGGCTATACCTCCTTGCCAGGCTCAGGACGGCATCTTATCCGAATACGAAGTATCCATGGATGACGCTTGAGTTAAGCTTACACCCTCGTCGTTTGCTAGGCCATGAACGGACTTTCACCGAGTTCGTGGCATGGTCTGCAAGAACAGGTACAGGATACTTCATTACCAAGTACATCTCCATCACTAAACCTTGACGACCCATTCACCTTGAGATTTCATAATCAGTCAAAGACGCAAGCGGATAACCTCGCGGATCCTCAATGGCGCGATAAAGAAACCAGAGCGCAGACTCGGAATGGCTAAGTCTGCAAAGGCTGAAGCCACCTGACACTGGATCTATTCCCACGCGATGTCCTCTCAACAGCAACGCCACCGATTACCCCGGTAGTTAACTCTTTAATCTTCTTCCGGAATATTTGAATGATGAGCAAGAACTTAGCTGTCTTGCGGCTTTCTACAAGACTGACATCATCTGCACGGATCCGATGTGGTTAATCTTCCAACTGCTTACCTTCCCACGGCATATAAACTCAACACACATCGGCCCTCTAGTCCGGTTCGTTTTCACTGGGCTCTGAACAACCACATTCAAGTTCCTCTGAATGAGCTACCGCCGAAATGAAGACCCACATGGTGCTAGGCGTTGCGCTATACGCATGTTCGACGGCGGCAGTCACTACTGAGATCAGGGTCATGTCCCTGACGTCGACGGTTGATTGCTCCGTGAGTTTGACCTGTTCCCAAGATGTGTTAATAGCAATCTCTGATATTATTAAGGGCGCTGTCATACCTACAGGCCTGCCAACAGTACCTATGGGCGTTCCTGGGGCCAATCCCACTGGTGGTGAGTAACATATTCCAATCTCGAGGCTCGCGTTCAACCACTGACCACAATCTTTCAGGCATGGTGCCGGGTGCGACTGTACCTGGCGGAGCTGGCAACCCCCCTGCGTCCACTGGAACCGTCGGTGGCGGTGGAAGTGGTGGCAGTGGAGGTAGCGGCGGTAGTGGGGGAGGTAGCGGAGGTGGAAGCGGTGGTAATGGAGGAGACGGTGGTGGCAATGGAGGAGGTAGCGGAGGTGGCACCGGGGGTGGTGCTACCGGCGGCGGTGCCTCTGGTGGCTCTGGCGGCGGTAACGGCGGCTCAGGGCAGACCGCGACGACTAGAAGTCCGGCTTCAGGCACAGGAGTCGTGGTCGTTCCGACAGCCGGCTCGCAAGCCCTACAACCTGGCAGTTGGCTGTCGGTGGCCATCGGTATCCTGGCTGTGCTGTACTAGAATTCTGGCATTCAAGTAATTGGGGTTTGTCCACGTTGAGTATCGCCATTGTTATTGGTATCTTGAACAACAATGAATAATATCTTCAGTACCATGTCAATAGCACTTCCTGGGGAGATGAATCAAGACTTAAAGGAAAGGAACATATTTATAGATCACTGTCCGCAGATTACTCCAAGTCTGCTAATGAATTCAGAAACTCAAAGTTACTTAAGTTCTGAAAGCTGGAGCATCGAATGAGTCATCTCTCGGGGACAGATAAACTGTACGTGTGATCACTCTTTCCTGTCGAGTTGTTTGATTATGTATCTATGTACCCAGGTCTTATCACTACCTTACTACACCCGACTAACTGCGGATTGATGTCGATTCAAATATCCAAATGAGCTCTCCCGTATTGAAATATTTCCACCGAAAATCGAATCTACCCGATTGTCACCTCCATTGACTCTATGACGTGGGCATATGCCTATTTGTTACCCGCGACCGACAGGATTTCGTTGCTGTTGCTGCTCTACAAACGTTTTCCAAGACGAACAGAACGCCGACAAGCACAATGGCGGCCAATTGCTATAAAGTAAGGCGTAGTAAAACGCCCTCAGCTTCTCATCTCTGCTAAGCTAGACGAAGGGCTACGTACAGGCTGCATATGCATTGACATAATGTCATCTACTTGAGTCCTCCAGCCTTTCTGTTTAAACGTCCATGTCACTTCAATATAGCTCGATGCTATGCTGTGACTTGAACACCGCTCATCGAGCCACCTGCCCGCCAGTCCTCCAGGAATTTTACATAGGCATTGATACCATGTGGAAACGGCGCTCCTCTGGCCAACTTCATTTGTGCCTCCAGTGGGGCCTTTTCGCCCTCATTGTTCATGTAGCTTGGTGTGCATATAGACAAACTAGAGAACCAAGCCGCATGCTGCATAATGAAACCGACATATGCTTCTTCCCCCGCCAATGAGCTCTCTATAGTCACCTTATTAGTGCTTTTCCCCGCGCGCTTCATAGCTTCAACTACCATGTATGCGCAATGTTGAGAAAGGACGTCCTGGGCATAAGCAAAGTTTGCCGCGGCGCCGATCTGCAAAGGGCCGGTCAGGAACAGGTTTGGAAAACCGTTGGTGAGGACGCCGTGGAAGGTAGACGGGCCTTTTCCCGACCACTTATCCGATAGGAGCTCGCCGTTCCGGCCCTTGATGGTCATGTTGGATCTGCTTGATGGCTCGGCCATGTCTGCTGCAGGCGGCCTGTATCCCGTGCTCAGCACAATGACATCGAGGGGATAGTCTGTACCGTCGACGACTAGTGAATTCTTGGTGGCGTGGTCAACTCCCTTGCCGTTTGTATCAACAAGATGTACGTTGGGTAGGTTGAACGCCGGGAGGTAGTCGTCATGGAAGGTCGGTCGCTTGCACCATGATGGGTACCATGGCTTCAAAGCCTCAGCAACTGACTTATTCTTCACAATTTCCTCAACTCGACGTCGAATCCTCTCTGATCTCGGGGCATCCAGGGCGAGAAGACTGCCGATATGGCTGGGAATATCCTCCAATCCAAGAGGTTTCTCGTGTGGTGCGCCGACAAGGCCTTTGTAAGTCTGAATCTTCGTCCAGCCATCATCTACCAAGTCCTCTTCTACCTCGCCGCCAGAAACGAGTGAATTGAAGTTGTCAAGGCGACGCCTCTGCCAGCCAGGGCCGTCGGCAATCTTCTTCCACTCTTCTGGATCAGTAGGCCTCTGGCCTCTCTCTTCCACAGATGACGGCGTTCTTTGGAAGACGTAGAGCTCCTTCGCCCACTTGGCGAGCTGTGGAACGAGCTGGATGGCGGTTGCGCCAGTACCAATGATGCCAACACGTTTTCCCTCAAGGCCAGTAAGCTGGACATTTTCGAGGTCCTCCGCGTTCCCACCAGTGACTTCGTAGTTCCACCGCGCAGTATGGAACATATCGCCCTCAAATGCCTCGAGATTCTTGGCCGCTTTAGGATGGTTCAGAACACCGTTGGCCAGAACGACGAACTGTGATCGAACCGTCATCGTGATGGGCGACTCATTCGGGCCGCGAACCTGCTCGATAACCACGATCCATCGCTTAGCGTCCTCGTCCCACTCATAACTCTTGATCTGCGAGCGGAACACACCCTTGTCTGTCAAGTCCCATGTCTCTGCCATTCGGTCCGCATGGGCCCGCAACTCGTGGCCATACGAGTATCGGTGCTTGGGAACATAGCCCGTCTCCTCGAGGAGCGGCATGTAGGTGTAGGATTCGACGTCACACATTAGACCCGGGTAACGATTCCAATACCACGTGCCGCCAAATCCACCAGCGGCGTCGACCAGGCGAATATCCTCGGGCTTGAAACCAGCTTGGATGAATCGAATTGCGAACAGCAGTCCTCCGTAGCCGGCGCCGAGGATGATGAACTTCACCTCGTCGCCATCCTTGAGGCTCGGCGTCTGGGCGTTGAGCTTCTCATGATCGACCCATGGATCTTGGGCCAGCTTGCTGAACTTCGCGTTTGTCTCCATCTCGATGTACTGCGCGTTGCCGTCAGACCGCTGGCGCTTCTCTTTCTCCTCTGTGTACTTCTTGTTGAGAGCCATGAAGTCGGCCGCGGCAGCCCCGGCCGCGGTGTCTGTCGTGATCTGTGGAGGTGCAGCCATGTTGACGTTTGACTTGCAGGTTGAATAGAGGTGTAGTTGAGGTAAGTGATTCTGCTTGGTGACCTCTGTATCATATCTACGAGGAGGCGAATCGTCTAGTTTTGAGTCGCCAAAATATGCGGGTAATACATGTCCGTTGAGGACAGTCCAAGCGGTGTCCTCAAACAGCTCCATTGACATACTCCATGCTCGCACTTGTCATCTGGTCTCCATTGGGGTTCCCTAGAAGAGGGCCAAGCGTCCCCGCCTACCACGATATTTCTGAGCCGGGGCGTGTTTGCGGGTCATCGTACTGGAGCATAATTCTATGGCTAGTCGGGGAGTACTATGAGCCCGACGAGCCATTACTGGAGGGACCAGTGCGTCCAGATCGACACAAACGTATTCGTATTCGTTCGTCGCATTTCTAGTGCAACGTAGCAACGTCGCTTAAAGAATAATGCGGTAGTTGATGGTGGATCTTGTCCTTTGCCAGACTAAAACGATCTCAGGATCTACATAGACCCGCCAAGCTTCTAAGGGTCCGGCTCCTGCTCCGCTACATGGGTAACCGTTGCGGAGAAGCTGTCGTCCAAAGACAGCCAGATGCAACAAACTCCGTGTGTCTGGCCTCAAACACCACCTGCATGTCTTGGTGGATTATCGTGGCTAAGAGTACTATTATAGGTCGACACTTCAAGAAGTTTGGAGATGAACATGCGTGTCTCGCTTGGGGCCTGGCGAGTGGCGCATCTGCTGCATCATGTATCCATGGTGTCATTGTCTAACGACTCGATGCGCATTGCTCCGTGCAGCACGCTCGGTTTCGAGACTCCAACGCGACTGGCCCACCGCTACGAGACCGAAACCGATCAGACGACTCCACGAACGGGTACTTCCCGCTAGACTGCGCGGGAGCGACCGCCGTGTGCCACAACCAGCTCGCCTGGTGTCATAATTGACCTGCAACAGCATAGATAAAGTGAGTACGGACGGGCGACGTTGATGTTTATGCGCTTCTCGTCTTCAGACTCAAGTCTCATAGTGATGTGGTATTAAAGCTAGGGATAAGCTTGCATCAACTCAAATTTGATGCAGCGGGGTATGGGATGGCCGAGCTTATGTTGACCACATGCTGGCGACAGATGTAAGTTAGTCTGTGCATGAGCTTGAGTCCGGTACCTAAAGCACCGATTGACCAGGTTTTCATCCATTCTTGCAACCATATGGCGCGGATCAGTGTAGTCATGGCTATGGACCAGGTGCTCCAACCAGTGCGGTAGAATGAAGATAAACGTTACCCCTCTCGATGTCAATTCATTGAGTGATCCGAGAGCCCATCACAAACCTGGGCGAAGTACTTAAGTAAGTAAGTAAGAATGTACGCGAAGCACTTAACTAAGGTGCCAGTCTCAGAGTGAACAGTCTCGCGCAATGTTCTGCTTGTATTCGTTGTTCAAAAATTGAAGTTCGGATCCCACGTGCATCCAAATTGGACGCAACTGAAAATCGACGGCTCGCGATCTAACCACCGACTGGCATTTCTACCCACTTTCGTACATGCCCATCGCATTACTAGTGACCCGCTGTTCACCTCAACCCCCTGACTTTACCCCTCAAGCGAAACGGAGGGTTTATGGAGAAGCCAGGTGTTTGACACTCCAGGCGGGTGCATCATCGCCAGACCAGTTCACTCTTGTGCTTGCTCCAGTGAACGATTGCATCGAACGAAACCTCACGTATTCAGCCAAAAATATCCGTAAGTGAGTTCAAGGTATCCCCTACACACCCATTCGTCACAGCTGACCTCAAGTTCAAGCACCCTGAGATCATGGCTTCCGTCACAATGGATGGCTTGCATCTTCCTGACTACGATGACCTTCCGCCTGTCGAGGGCATGCCCAAGGGCTGTGCCTCGGGAGTTTTCGACAAGGATGGAAAGAAAGACCTCTTCGGGACCTTAAATCTGCTCACCCCTTCAGTTGTGAAGGCAGCAGGCGCTGAAATACGAGATGGCGTGTCCATCTCGTTGAAGTGAGATGCCCATGTTACCAAGTTACTTAGAGCCAACGCCCCATGGCTAACACAACGCTATATAGCTGGCCTCTAGACAGCATGAACAAGCTGGCTATCCCTGGACGCAAGCAATCGGTTCATAAGGTGTACACGCTGCAGACTGCCGGCCTCAGTCAAGGGATTGGCTGGGACGACGAGCTAGAGTTCAACACACAAGGCAGCAGTCAGTGGGACAGTCTTGTCCACTGGCAGCATCAGCCGACGGGACTCGCCTACAATGGCTTCAAGCCAACTCAAGAAGAACTTTCGGCGACGTCCACAGCGACAAACAAGATGCCCACCATCGATCACTGGCATGAGCGGGGTGGCGTGGTGGGACGCGGGGTTTTGATCGACTACAAGGCATATACCGACGCGAAGGGGATAGACTACCATCCCATGGAGGGCTACCGCATCACTATCGAAGATATCGAGGCTGTAGCCAAGCATCAAGACGTAGAGTTCAAGCAGGGCGATATTTTCTTGCTTAGAACAGGCATCACTGAGATCCTAGATAAGCCTACGCCGGAGGATTTTGCAAAGCTGGGGCAGTATAAGTTATCCGGCGTGCATGGCTCAGAAGAGACGGCCAAGTGGTTCTGGAACAAGCACTTTGCCGCTGTTGCTGGCGACTCCAGTGCCTTTGAGGCATTTCCACCTGTCAAGCCAGACGGAACTTTGGCAAATATGACCGATCTTGGTACGTCATTGTGATGAGCTGGAAGGAAACAATGGCAGAACGAGCCCGGCTAACTCTTGCTGCAGTTCTTCATCCCTACTTCTTGAGTCTTTTCGGCATGCCCATCGGCGAGCTATGGGATCTCAGTCGCCTGTCGACATACTGCCAAAAGACAGGAAGGTACTCGTTCTTCTTGACCTCTGCGCCTATGAACGTCTCCTGTCTTGTAGGATCGCCGCCAAATGCCCTGGCCATATTCTAGAAGCTTGGCAGAAATTTCGGAAGCGCCGTGGATCTCACAGAAAATCAAGGACTGTATGAATGTTGAACTCTAAATGGTTACGCACTATCATTATAGAACACAGTGACAAGACGAAGAATATGACGAGAAACAACTATTATATTAAAAAGCTTATTGGTATCAAACATCATTGACGCATCATGAAGCGCAGGCCTTCCATACACTGTGTGTATTCTAGCAGGCGAAGTTCCAAGTGTTGTATCCCGGCAATTCCCAACACCAAACACCAAGGGCATCGCGGATATTCAGACCATGACAACATTCACCAACAGTATCGAGCTCTCGTTACTGCATAGCAGCATAGACGAAGCCGGCAGCAGCGGCAGCAGCAACAGCCATTCCAGTCTCTCTCGGTGCGGCGCCCTTGCTGGTGGCAGTCGCCCCCGCCCCACCCTCGCTGGTGAGCGCTGCCAGCTTGGTGCTGCAGTAGCCTCCAGAGGCCAGAAGGCTCTTGACCTCGGCCGCGATGATGGGGATGTCGGTGCACTCATGCCACACGGCTCGCATCTCCGACATATGGGCGGTCTGCCATGACTCAACGGCGCTCGACCATGAGGTGTACTGGGCGCTCATCGAGTCCGTGACGGAGATGGTGCTGCAAGGGTCGACCGTGCCGTTGGCAAGGGACGCGGTGGCGGCCCACTCTTGAAGGGCGAAGTTCGGGGTGGGGAGGGGGTCGCTGCCGGTGACGGCGCTGGCGAATGCGTAGACGGCGTTTGTACACTCGGGGGTGCCGCGGGCTTCAAGGACCTTGATGATCTTGGTCGGTTCGATTCTCTTATGGAGCTGGAGGTGGACGTCGCCGGCGGCAGCAGCAACAGTTGCGGCGAAAGCGCCGAAGATGACGGTAGCAACGCGCATGTTGATTCAGTAACAAGGACGAAGCAGGAGGATTTTTCAAGGTGGGTTGAGCTTGATAGGTGCTATTCGAAAGAGACAGAGTCCTCAAAATGGTTATTGATGCAATTACAGATCGTGGACATTCATTTGCAACCGGAACAGAGCAACTATTTATCATCGGGAGACACGCAACAGTTTCAATTCATCGTGGGCTGATGCCTACAAGCAACCAAAGGTACCCTTGCCCGATGACTCCAGCGAGGAAATGAATTTTCTAGGGCAAGCTGAAATCGAAGTCAACCAGTTTCCCTTCCAGGTTAACTCAATGGTACCCGACAACATTAGTCTGGACAAGCTTCTGACTGTGCCGCCCGGCTGCCTACAGAGCGCATCTTGGCGCTGATTGCGGGTTGAAATCTGAGCCGCTTGATAGGGCCGAAGAGCGCTGTTGGCCGTTGTCTGACCCCGTAATGAATTTCCGCTCTCGACCGAACATCCTGGTCCTGTCAGCCTAGGTCTTCGGGCGGTGAGGCAGATCACGAGGAGAACCTTGGGGGCTGAATACATGTGGCACAGCCCTATCATCTCGAGCGACGGTAAGTTGTCAGACGGCCATTGACGAGAATGCTTCGCCGCTCGTGTTGTTCACCCGTAAGCCATAGTGAAAGCGTGGGTGAGTGCCACAGGCTGTGTTACACCAAGGAAGAATGAGAAAGAAGACGGCATGAATTGGATTGGCAGCTAATTTTGGCCTGGGCCGTCAGGATTGGCCTCAATTCTTGCCAGGGATTGGACTTGAAGCGGAGCTGTGTCCGTACCTGCATAAGCTACGGTACCGAGGCCCTCAAGCCAAATCCGCCATTTTCTGACCTACTTCCAAAGATGAGGGACTTTGGTAAACACCCATGCGCGTAGGTGAACTCTTCCCAGAACCAATCAAGCCGAATGCCAGGCACAATCTTTAGGCAATAATTGGGCCTGGAGGAACAATTGGCCATGTGGCGGATGCTGATGTCTGGTGGCTTCGATTGAGATATGGTAGATGGGTATGACGATGGTGGGACGCCGACCTGAGCCATCCTGGCAAAGCCCACGAGCTCCCATGGGTCAAATTCAACGATCGTACAGACGAGGTGCCCCAAGAATCCTCACGAGTATGCTTATGCATGTGAACGCATGCAAGTCAGCAGAAAGCCTGGAGGGTTCTTTATCACAAGACGGCTCCCGAGGGTGTCGGCTTTTTTTTTTTTTTTTTGAATCGAGTGGAAATTGCATGTCACCAGAAGTATTGTGGGTAGTGTTAAAATCGCAGTACCCCTTCGCGCAGTGAAGTCAATGCAAGGAATCTTGAAGTCGAAAATTGCATTTTTCCGCGGGATTGAGTTACAACGAGGCACGACTCTGGTGACTTCTAGAGTAGTAACCTCCTCATCCCACCGACTTCTACCTGGATTCCTCGGGCACTTTGAGCGACAGTCTCCTCAAAATCATGCTGCGACAAAGCACCTCTGTAACGAGAGAGATATCGGACGAGTGTAAGATTGCCATTTTGCAGGCCCAGTCGTTCATGAAATGGCGGATGACGATGGGAGAATTTGATAGGTTGTTCCAAGGGTAGAAGTTGCAGGAACAAGCGTAGATTCCCAAGCGCCTGCGTAGTCCGTGTTCGACTGCCATGATGAATGCATTTACCTAACAAGGGCACCTAATTTGGTTAAATTGGATAGCCGGTTCAAGAAGAAACTCGGTCCCTTCACGTTTGTTCTACCTTGGGAGTAATACGGTAGTGGCTATCGAGTGTTGGACCTCAGAGACTTGGCGGTTCAACATCTTAGCACCCCAGAAAGGACCATTGACAGGATGCGCCGCGATAAGTCACAATGCCAGGGACGAGTACTCCTCTTGGAACATTGCTCGGGAGGATACCTTGGGCTTGTCTCCATGGCCCATCAAGTGGTTGTGTTTGGGAGTGACATTATCAGTATTGGGGGGAAAAAACAATGAATCCTGTCAACCTCCCATCACGTTAACTCTAGTATCTAGGATATCCCGGTGACACTGACGTCGCTGAGGATGGTGGGGTATGAGTGGGCAGCATGACGCAGGCAAAGTCCGTGGAAATGCCAAACCATTGGGCGAATTGACTAGTTTCTGAGTTTTTCGGTGGGAACAACGGCGGAGGTGGCATGCGTAAATTTTGTCATGCAGATCGAACCCTAAAGCTTGCTCGGAACAACTGCACACAGAACTTGATCTAAGTTCACGGCCTCGTTGGCTCCGGCACCTCTAGTTTTTCCGTCTCTGTACGACCAAGAGCATAGCCGCCTCTATCTAGCAGCTTTTTTCACGGTGTCGCCTAGCAGTTGTCAAAATCTCATTAACGCGAAGACCGTGCACCACCAGCAGTACTCCAAAATGGCGCATCAGAACGGCGGGAACACTGTCTTACTGACCGAAGAAGAGGCCCAGCGGATTCGGACCACTGTACAGGAGACACAGAAGAAATGCTCAACACAAAAGGGCAACGCCAGAGAGTTTCGAGATGCTCACGCTACTGTTAGCCAGGCGACTGGTACATCACTCATGATGGACATGGGTCAAATGAGTGGACAGGGTCAGAAGGACACAATCCCAGCTCTTGGTGTTGGGCAGTCATATCCACCAAGCACCGTATCCCTGGATGAACTCAAGCCTATGAAATTTTCGGAACTCACACTAGAGACTCATCACCGTGGGCGTTCTTTGACAGTGCAGCGTGCGAGGCGCTGTCCGGTGGTGGCTCTTGCCGCCCGGTCATGGACTGTTGTCCAAGATGAGGAAGAGAAGGAGACGGAACGTTTGGAGATGGTCCTGCATAAGACAACAGATGGCGAAGATACCCTTGAGTCGGCACGGCGATTCATCATCAAGGAGCCGTACTTCACGCTGACGGAAGAGGGTGAGGCTACCCTGCGGATCGACCACCCCTCCGATCTCGTCATCATTAGAGAGGAGATCGTGAAAGGCAGCTTGAGCGAGGTCGAGGATGGAACCAAGGGGGACGAGATTGCAAAGAAGTGCAAAGACAAGGGTAACGCGGCACTGCAAAAGAAGGACCTCCCTCTTACTCGGACAAGTTACAGCCAAGGACTCAAGGTTGCCAGGCAAGAGCCCGTCCAAAAGACGAACCCGGACATCGCAAGAGACATTGCACGGAACCGAGCTCACGTGCATCTGCTTATGGACCGACAAGACGAAGCCATCGCCGACGCTAAGGCCTCTCTCATTGGCGCCGACGATCAGAAGTCTAAGGAACTCGACAGCAAAGCCTACTTCCGCGCCGGCAGCGGCGCTTACAACCTGGGCCAATTTGAAGAGGCCAAGCAGTACTTCGAAAAGGCTCACGAACTCGCACCCGCGGAAAGAGGTGCGGCAGTGTATCTGCGCAAGGTGGAGATGCGGCTTCGCGAACAGGAAAAGGGGTCGTATGACCTGCAGAAGATCAGGGCTAATCTCACGAGAGTCTCACCACGGGCCGACGCGGCAACCTTCACTGCAAAGACTGAGGTCAAGGATAGCAAAGGGCGAGGCCGAGGCTTGTTCGCAACTTGCGATATTGCCGCTGGAGAGATAGTCATGGTTGAGAAGGCTTTCTGTGTGGTCTGGGGTCATGAGAGCGAGGTTCTGACCGCAATGACCTACGATGTCCGCGACGACAATATTAGGGTGGCACCCGTCGGCCTAACTAAGGCCATCTCTCAGAAGCTCCTTAGGAATCCTTCGCAAATCGCCAAGGTGCTGGATCTTTACGGAGATTACCAGGGTGAGGGTAAGGCCACGTCAGAGACCTCAGAGGGCCCGGTGGTCGACGTCTTCCGGATCCACGATATCGTCTCTCGTAACGCTTTTGGGCCCGGCGGCCAGTACGGAGAGGAGGGCGCGAGGAACGCAAGCACCGGTCTCTGGGTCTGGGCGGCTTACATCAATCATTCCTGCATTGCCAACGCCAAGAAGGACTACGTCGGCGATCTAATGGTCCTCCGCGCGTTACGACCAATTGCCAAGGGCGAGGAAATCTTCCACAGCTACGATGAGTCGAGCAACTACGAGGCGAGACAGCAGGCTCTTATGACGACGTGGGGCTTCGAGTGCAACTGCGCTCTTTGCGCTGGTGAGAAGACCGACGACGCCAAGTTGCGCCAAAAGCGCCAAATGCTGGTAAACGACGCGGATGACTTTGTTTCGACGACGCACTGGACCAACGCGAAGAGGATTACCATTGCCAAGGCGCAGCGCCTGGCGAAAGATATCGACGCGACATATGAAGACAAGAAGTACGATGGTGTTCCTCGTCTGGCATCAGAGAGGGTTCGGGAATGGCTCACAAAGGCAGCTCCCCGCAAGTGAAGATGAAGACCCAGACTCCTGGTATGCTGGATAGACTCATCGGCCTTGTTGTGGACTAGAATAGCAGAACGATCATTCCACCTGCATTAGATATAGACCTCCACACACGAAAGACGGTATCAGACCAAATTATCTGGCTCATGCTAAGCGGATGTCCACACTAGCCATAGCGATACTACGGCCTCTCCTCGATATTGACGAGTGATGGTTTCACAACTCCAGAAGTATAAGTCAATCTATGATGGACCGCGCTAGCAATTGACTTGCTTGCGTGATGCCACAGGACCTGCCGGAATCACGGCGTCTAAACAATGAAACAGCTATTGAAGGTGTCTCAACGCCGCGTGCCTCAAATATCTCTCTTCAGGTTGCCTTCATTAATGAGAAGCCCGAGATTCGGGCCTCTTTGTTCGACATTCTATACTGTGATGCGCTGATCACGTTCAAATATTTGGAAGCTACACCTTTTGGGAAATGACAGGGCAATGACTCGTCCAGAGCGGAACCGCATGGACTCTGCGGAACCGCAACTCCTGATGTTGTACCTTGTCCCCAACGCAACAACAAGGGAACATCGTCCCCCATGATCAGCGAAGATGTCCAGTTAGCCGATTGCGGGGGAATACTCTTGCGTTTAACAGGCTTTCCGTGAAGTTGGTCCTGGTTCCCGTGCTTGCCGAGACGAACCACAGACCTAGAATCAGGTGCTTCCCCTCTTCTGCAGGCAATATCCCCACATCAACCCCAGACGTCACGGAACGTCAGCCCATAAGCTCACAGCCTGCTTGTCACTCATATGATCTGACGATTCCCAGTCCAGAGCCTCGGGACCGTTTGCCAATGATATTTACCGACCTGACATCCAACTCCGTCATTGTATGATTGCCTTATACTTGTTTGTCCTGGAATGTTATATAATTCACTACTATCATTCTGAATCGCCAGTAATTGAAGAATACCTTGCATTATGGCTGCAACTTCACGAGCTGCCAGATCCTTTTTGTTTCGAGCTTCAAGATCAATATTGCCTGCACTGGCAGCTTCGAGCCGAGCGACTTGCATTTCCCCAGCCTTCACTCGCACAAACTTAAGCCCTGCCGGCTCGCTGTTGATGAGGCATTTGTCAACGATGAAGGCCCTCGTCTACGACGGTTCAAACTCAGTGTCATTGAAGGATAAACCTCTCCCTACCATCTCGAAGCCAACCGATGTCATAGTCAAAGTCACAAAGACAACCATTTGCGGCACTGATCTCCACATTCGCAAGGGCGACGTAGCGACATGCCAGCCAGGCACCACGTTGGGTCACGAAGGCGTAGGTATCATCCACTCAGCGGGAGCTTCGGTCACAAGATTCAAGGAAGGAGACCGAGTCCTCATCTCATGCATCTCCAGCTGCGCTACGTGTGAGTACTGCCGCCGGGGCATGTACAGTCATTGCACGTCCGGTGGGTGGATCCTCGGGAATACCATTGACGGCACCCAGGCCGAATATGTCCGCATTCCCCACGCCGAATCCAGTCTCCACCCGATCCCGGACGGCGCCGATGACTCCTCACTGGTGATGTTAAGCGACATCTTCCCGACGGGACTCGAATGTGGTGTGCTGAATGGGAAGGTACAGCCGGGCGGTACCGTCGCTATTGTCGGCTCAGGTCCGATCGGTCTGGCGGCTATTATCACGGCTCAGATGTACTCCCCGTCTCAAATCATTGCCATCGATATGGATCCTAAGCGACTTGATGTTGCAAGGCAATTTGGCGCAACCGAGACTATTGACAGCTCCAAGGCAGATGCTGCAGCCAAAGTCAAAGAGTTGACGGAGGGCAAGGGCGCTGACTCGGTCATTGAAGCGGTGGGAATTCCCGCCACCTTTGATCTCTGTCAGAGCCTGCTCGCACCTGGTGGTGTTCTAGCGAATGTGGGAGTTCATGGAACCAAGGTTGACCTTCACCTCCAAAATCTTTGGGACAAGAATATCTGTGAGTTCAAAATATCGAGCTGTTGGGTGATCGAAAACATCGACGCCAATTCTAATTCATCATACAGCAATCACCACTAGACTTGTGGACACAACAACGACACCAATGCTTTTGAAGCTTGTACAGTCTGGCAAATTGCAACCCTCACAACTTATCACTCACCGTAAGAATCTCTATTTAAGATCGTGCAACATTCCATGAGAACATGACTGACAGGAGCTTCAGACTTCAAGCTTGGTGACATGGAGAAGGCATATGATACCTTCGGAGAAGCGTCTAAACATGGTGCTTTGAAGGTTGTGATTGATGTGGATTGAGACTTCGGATACCACACGTTTCGCTCAACGTTGATCCCGCGGATAAGCCTACCTTTTGACAGATTGAGAGCCTCAGAGAAGATAGGGAGGTTTCAATGTTGATAACGGTTATTTCACAAGAACAGGGCTGTCTTACATGATTACTTGTAATGATATGGGGAAGAAGATTCTCCTCACAAATAGACCGCTGCTGGAGTTATGCCCTGATTGAAGTTGCCAAGTCTTTCAAATATCAAAATATCAAAGTTTACTATCTGCATCGATACCGTTTATGAGTGTGACTGTCAATCAAGGAGACTGAAGACTCATATCAAAGTGGTTGTCTCTTCGTTCTTCGCAGATTTCAATCATTGGTGATACATTCCCATGTTGACTGCCACGTAAGTATGTATCGGAACTTCATGTTGTACTCATACGTATCACCGGCATGAATGTTTGATTTCAATATTTACATCGCACCAATGGCCTCGCACCTGGGTCGTATCAAATGTCACGCGCATTTCGAAGCCGCAATAATCCATGCCATGCCCGTATAACAATCGCGTGATGCACGTTTTCCCGTCCAACTACATCATACCTAACGTAGAGATTGCAGACATTGATTCCCTGTCCATGGGGATATCTCGTCTTATCAAACCAGCGACTCTGCTAGATAGGCATGGCCAAATTCGGAAACATGTTGGACCACTTCTTTGGCATCCAGATCTGCAACCTCATTCAGTGCACGTCGAGTCCACCAAAGGACCTGCATTATCTAAGGATGCACGTCTTACCGCGTCTCCGGGTTCAAGTGGAGGCATTTCCCCCACGGCCAAACGCCCGGAAGTGAATCATCGCGGGGCCGGCTTGTGTCTTCACGTTGCATCGGACGCAGAAATCCTCGCGCGTGCACGGCCTCGTTGGGCAGTAAATCTCCAGAACTTAGATACCGCATTGATAAGACTGCCTAGAAAGGTGGCATTCGCAGCCAACTAATTTACGCCTAACACATGCTTCGAGGAGTTGGCTTAGCAGTGCTGGACCATCTCCTACCCTCGTACGGTTTAGCGCCGGCATGGATGAGGCCTCAGAGTTTGGAAAAGGGCCCGATGGTCCATGCAGCAGTTTAATGGTCTACCAGTCCGCCTCGTTGGCGTTGAATCGGCAGAAAAGGAGGTGGTAGTGTAGAATTTTTAGTCGATGGAAGAAGAGCAGAATTTTGGTCGGTTGGTATATCATTGTCGAGCCACCGCTGGGGCTCTTGATGGTCTCCCGTATGGGCCGTGCCAGCAACCATCATGACAAACACAACTATCACGTTCGATATTCCGGGCACGGTGCAGCTAGTCGACACACAAGGCGTCCTCGACGTGAAGCATGGCTCGGAGCACACCAACATCGTTCTTGTTCCACAACCGAGCAGCGACCCGAACGATCCGCTATCATGGACGCGAAAGCGCAAGACGTTCAACATCTCCTGGGTCATGACATGGTGCTTCTTCGGCGCTGCAATCATATCCGGCCTGTCTCCCGCCTACCTGCAAATCGAAGCAGACACCGGCATTTCTGTAGCAGACCTTAGCACTGGCAATGGCCTCATGTTCCTCTTTCTCGGTTGGGGCACTCTGCTCACCCAGAACTTCGCGCTCAACTACGGAAGGCGCCCGACTCTCGTTTATTCGATGGTCGCGATGACCTTTGTCAGTCTCTGGACTGCCTACGTCAAGTCTCGAGCCGAATTCTTTCTTAATCGCATCATCATTGGCATTGTCTCTTCGCCAATGGAGACTCTGATCGAAGTCATAATTGACGACCTGTATTTCGTCCACCAACGAGGCTTCTACATGGGTATCTACAGTTGGATGTTGTGGTGTGGTGCCTTCCTCTGCCCGGTCGCTACAGGATTCATCGCCGAAGACCTGGGTTGGCGTTGGATCCAGTACATCCTATCCATTACAGGTGGCGTAATAACCATTCTGACATTTCTCTTCTTCGAAGAGACCATGTTCTGCAGACCTAGTTCACAAGCCGATGTTGGTGGCATCACCGATCAGCAGCGGGGGCTCTTTGATAGCGACAAGAGCGCAATCGATACCGAGCGGACCGAAGACCAGAAGCCTCAGCCTGCGGAAGGTGCAGCCAGTGTCAATTCTGAAATCGAGACACGCACTATACCGAACCGCGTCAATGTAGCACCCGAAAAAGCTTTCTGGTCGAAATTCAAGCTATGGGGATATCAAGACGACAGAAAACCAAGACAGCTGAAGCAGTCTCTGTTGCCTTTTTACCTCCTTCGATTCCCTTCCGTCATTTTCGCCGGTATTCTGGTTGGAGGTATCCTCTCGTGGTACAACGTAGTTGGCGGGTCTCTGGCTCTCATCCTTGGCAACCCACCATACAACTTTGGCTCCAACGTTATCGGCCTCTTTTACCTTGCTTCGGTGATTGGAGTATCGATCGGATGTCTGATATCAAGCTTGGCGAGCGATTCTTTGTCAGTGTGGATGGCCCGCCGACATGGAGGAGTAATGGAACCAGAGCATCGTCTTTGGTTATGCTTCCTGGCTATTGTGGCCCACCCTGTCGGTTGCATCCTATACGGCGTGGGGGCTTCATACCAAATCCACTGGGTCGGTATTGCTTTCGGGCTGGCCTTGATCTCTGTCACTCTCCCTCTGGGAACCAGCATGGCGTTCACATATATCCTCGACAGCTTCAAGGACCTCGCTGGCGAGGGCTTCGTGTCAGCTATCCTTATTCGCAACACGATGGGTAAGTTGACGCCGTCATTCCTCTTGGCGTCAGATTCAAAGCTGACCATACCCAGGCTTCGCTTTCAGCTATGCTGTAGTGCCGATGATCAATAGCATTGGTCTTCGCGATGCCTTCATCGTCACAGCTGTTCTTGGAGTGACATTCTGGGCACTGTGTCTGGTCATGATGTACTTAGGGAAACCGTTGCGACGCATGGCGGCGCCTCATTACTGGGACATGGTAGAAAAGCATAGCCTTTCAGGACACTGAGTCTTTACATAAAAATTAGCTACGTCTTACAGAGAGTTTAATGCAATAATTCTCGCTCATTCCACACGTGCAAAGGAGGTCTTTTAACCACACTGCGTTTGTGTTATGAAAACCTACATGCAGTTACACCTAGGCTTAAGCTTATTCTATACATGTGATACTTGTCAGCGCTAAATACCGCGCAGCTGAATCCTTGTAGGGCACCCAGTACACCTGGATTGCCCGCATACATTTTTGTCTTTGACATTTCTACCCTACACCCAAGCATTTTGAAAGTCACGGCGACCAAGTCTCATAGAGGATCCCTTCGTTCTAGTGCTACTCATGAGGCAAGCCTAGGACATAATCTTGGTTCTCCGATTTGGCGAGACACGAATACGAGTGCAAGCCATCGCATTTCGGGCAGTAGTTCAGCCGAGTTGTGTGAGGGCTTCTAAGGTAGATGAGAAGAATTGATTCATTATCACGTTAAACTGGAAATCTAGCCGTCCCCTCTATCTTACGAGCAACATCCTTCCCAAAGGGGTAACAAGATGGACCAACTTGAGACTTACGTTGTGGAACACCACTCAAGCCAGCCCTCATCGTTGATTCACTTGCTTTCTCGATTAAGGAGTAAGACAGGTCATCTGAAAGCGGCAAGCCGAGAGCATATCCTGCAATACTAGAGCGGTACGAGCTTGGCATTACTTCACCATACAGACCCCCCGCACTAGCTGCATGCAAACTACTTGAGCCTCTTGGCTGCCCTTCTCAACTGCCTTTCGCGTAGATAATTAGCTTAACTATGGTACTGTTGCCCGTCTGACGAATCTTATGCATCAATACTGCTTCTAGATTCTTTCAAGCACACCAGGTTGAGCCTACCACGATCCTCTACAGTCCCAAATATGGCTCCTGCCCAATTTTTCAACTATCCAGGGACTGAGTCCAACGCAGAGCAATACCACTACTCCCAAGCTGTAAAGACCGGAAACGTCGTTCGCACATCAGGTCAGGGTGGCTGGGACGAGCAAGGGAATATCACAACCGACCTCGAAAAGCAGATCGCTATTGCGTTCGAGAATGCTCTCAAAGCTCTTCAAGCCGTTCACCCACGCCTCAACTTCAAAGACATTTACGCGATTCGCTCCTATCATCTTGATATGGACTCGAGTTTCGACGTCATGACGACGACGTTCAAGAAACTGTTCCCGAATCATAGACCTATCTGGACGTGCATCCAAATTGGCAAGCTTGGATTGGAAGGGATGCAGGTTGAAATCGAAGTTGAAGCGTTGATCCCCGTCTAAGGAACATGGATGTAGGATGCAAGAGAAACTTTCCCAATCTTGTGGGTTAGACACGATCAACATCGGCGCGGTGTCTTGGGTACTTTATGTACCATATCGGCTATCTGTCTTCAGAGCATCATCAGTCACCAAGTGCAACATCGTATAGCCTTTCGCCGTGAATCATTTGTTTTGACAAACTGAGCGAAATTTTGCAAAATCACTCAACTCTGATACTTTCAAGTACATGCAACTATGTGACTGCAGACAGCCCTTTGACCACCTTGTGGACTTCAAGGGACCATGGCTAGGCTGTAGAATTCCGAGAGTGTAAAAAGGTTAGTTTTCGACTTCACCTTAATTAACTACCAATAATACTCCGACGTATCATTGCGAGCTTGCGACGATACCGCTAGTTTCCATACTTTTGGTAGAAGGTCCAAGCCAAGACGCAAGTTCATCCTGACACAAAGTCGGCTGCAAATGCAGCGGTGGCGCAACCCGCAAGTAAGCTCACTGTTGGCAAAATTCTGATTGGCGGCACCGAAGTAAGTTTAAGTAACTTGAGCTTGGTTGCTCCAGTTGAGAAACCTTCTCAGGGTAGTGATGGACCGCCGTGGCCAAAGTTGAGGCCTATGCGACCAACCTGCAACTTGAGCGTCACTACATGTAGTGGTGTGTTGCCTGTCTCGGATATCCAGTTCCGACTTGGGACTGGGCAAAATGTCTCATGCTTCGTACCCGCAACTTGGAATCATGTCAAGCAATCACCGAGTTGAGCTTCCACTTCCCGGCCCTCTAATTCAAGCTATCCGACCACCCTGTGCTGCTGTACCTCAACAGCCCCGCGCCAATGGTCAAAAAAGTTGCCTAATTCGGACAGCTCCTGCGGGAAACCCCGCACCCCTCTCATTGGCGTTGGGATGGTTGAAATTGACGCTGCACAGCTTGGAGTAACTAAGGTGGGGAGAAGTATCCGGACACATGTAAACCTGGTGGGCACTTACGACTAGGAGACGGGATCTTGTCCATCTTTTGTCTGCTTCAGGATCTCCGAGCCGCCAGTGTGGCCCCGTCTGATAGCTAGCCGCTGACGATCTGCAGAATTTCACAGATCCGCTTCCCCACTTGTCTGGGACACTTTGATGGCGGAGACACAATGATCCCATTTATTGCCTAGTCTGTCCGACATGCATTGACAGTTTGCGTGGATAATAAGAGGGCGGGCTGCCTCACGTCTTCGACTTGAAGCAAGACACCCTGCCCTGATTTGCTCAACTACGGCAGTTGTGTCTTGGTTTCTTTCCCCTTACCCACACACTCCGGAGTTCGCACCAAGATGTCAGCTGCTACCTTGAGCCTCACAGCGCCGAATGGCACGAAGATCTCCCTGCCTACAGGGCTCTTCATCAACAATGAGTTCGTGAAGGCTAGCTCAGGATCCAAGATCACTGCCATCAACCCAAGGTGCGATAAGAATTTGAAGTTACTCGTCGAATATCACGAGACTGACGACATCATAGTGATGAATCTGAGATCGCTGCAGTGGAAGCCGCATCACCTGAAGATGTTGATAAAGCTGTAAAAGCAGCACGGGCAGCACTAAATGCCCCAGGCTGGGGTGACATCTCTGCTACGGATCGGGGCAGATTGATGTTCAAGCTCGCCGACCTCGTCGAGGCAAACCAAGAGACTCTGGCCACCCTTGAGACGTGGAACGGCGGTAAGCCGTATGGCGTGGCCCTCGGAGAAGATGTGGCGGAAACAATCTCAACGCTACGCTACTATGCTGGCTGGGCAGACAAGATTCACGGCGAGACCATTCCTACAACGCCTCAGAAGTTTGCGTATACAATCAAGCAGCCGATTGGAGTTTGTGGACAAATCATTCCGTGGAACTATCCAATCATGATGGCAGCATGGTTAGTGAAATTTCTTCTTCGCAGTTAAAAGGCACGAACTAATTCTAACTTCCAGGAAGCTCGGTCCGGCATTGGCATGTGGCAACACAGTGGTTTTGAAACCTGCCGAACAAACGCCACTCTCTGTCCTGTACTTTGCAACTCTGATCAAGGAAGCAGGATTTCCTCCAGGCGTTATCAACATTGTCAATGGACTTGGAAGGGAAGCCGGCAACGCCCTAGTTTCTCATACCGATGTTGATAAAATTGCTTTCACTGGCTCCACAGCAACCGGAAGACAAATTATGAAGTCTGCGAGCGTTAACCTGAAGAACATCACGCTAGAGACCGGCGGAAAGTCACCTCTCGTGGTCTTCAGCGATGCCGATCTCGACCAAGCAGCAAAATGGGGCCATGTTGGCATCATGAGCAACCAGGGCCAGATCTGCACATCCACATCCAGAATCCTGGTTCATGAAGATGTCTACCAGGACTATGTTGCAAGGTTCAAAGCGATATGTCTTGAGAACAAGGTGGGCAACCCCTTCGACGACGACACATTCCAGGGACCGCAGATCACCAAGATCCAATATGAGAAGATTCTGGGATACATCCAAGCCGGTAAGGATGAAGGTGCCAAGCTTGTGACTGGTGGAGTTCCATTCAAGAACGTCGGGGATGGCAAAGGATTCTTCATCGAGCCAACAGTCTTTTCCGACGTGAAGAAAGATATGAGGATCTTCCAAGAAGAGGTTTTCGGTCCTTTCGTCGCCATCACGCCCTTCAAGACGGAGGAAGAGGCAGTTTCTTTGGCTAACAACACTTCATACGGACTCGGCGCTGCGTTGTTCTCACGCGATATCGAGCGGTGCCATCGCGTAGCCGCCCGCCTCGAATCTGGAATGGTCTGGATCAACAGTTCGAATGACTCTGATATTCGTGTTCCATTCGGTGGCGTCAAGCAAAGTGGCATTGGTCGCGAATTGGGAGAAGCTGGTCTGGCTGCTTACTCACAGACAAAGGCAGTGCACGTCAACATGGGATTCAAGCTGTGAACTGGTCAAGTAGAGAAATCTTGAAAGCCCAAAGCCACACGATCTATTGCCAGCCCCAAACTTCCTTTTTGAATTAATTATAGCACGACGGCATCTGACGCCAAGTCGGAGTACATTTCCGACCACGTTACGTCCTCTCGAGCGGCCTTCCATACACCGCACAAAACCTCAGAGACAGTATGTAAGCTAGCAAACCGCATCTCATCACGAATAATATGAAGGATACCCAGAACTGCTTTTCTGTGTCTCGGGGACTGAACATGCGCACCAGCAACGAGCAAAGGGAAAATGACACAATTTAGCACCTTTGACGGCTGTTTCATATCGATGATGCACTCTAGACACGGCAGAACGTGCTGCTGTACGAGAGAATGAGAGACTGGTAGGCCGCAAATGGCTCGATACATGTAGATGAGAGCCGTATGCTGAAAGGCACGAATTAACGTGAAATCGTTGTTTGCCTCCGAGTCCGGATCGACATCTCCAGTATCTGAACATGTGTCCGTGATCTTGGCATACATGGGAGACAAGGCCGTCTCGAACTTGCGGATAGTTTCCATTGAGAGTTGCTCGGTGCCGTTGTTCAGAGCATCTCGGAACTCTGTTAGCCGAGATATTTGCTGGAAAACTGAGGCCAGGGATGAGCGTCCAAGGATGTCTCTTCCCCACCATACGGATCTCTTCTCAATCGAATCCCATATTTCGTGAGGGAACGAGGGTTTCCCTCCCTTGAGCATGATAGTTGTGAGATCCGTTGACGCAAATTCGGAGAGGAGCATGTGGATCGACTCATGACTCGTCTCCAGGACCGGGAGAATGCCCCCGAGACTGTCGATGATTGCCTTCACGCCCCCATGATGACTGGACGTTGACGCAGACGCCTGAGCGCATTCAAGGTATCCGTCGTGGAAATAGAGTAAGAGCACAGCAAGCAACAGGGTCATGAGTGAACTCTTATCGACCATGTGAGCGCCGCCGACCTCACCACGTACGGCCGCAAGACACTCGAGTCGCTTCATACGAAGAAGACTGCGGCTGTTCCTCCCGTCCTGGAGAACCCGGTGCGCATCCGCAATGACGCACGCCGCGAGAAGTACGACCCGATGCTCAAGAGCCTGTAAGATTGGGGCCGCGCAAGGTTCCGGGGCCGTCGTGAGAAGCGGCCACAGGCGGTGGTGGAAGTAGTCCAGGGCGCGCCGTTCGTCTGAAGCCAGACAGGACGCGAGCTGCGCGTCTCTGGTGGCGATCTGGTAGATGGCCGGAGCCTTGATCGTGGGCCGGGTGCTCCATTTCAGGCGGCGAGCGTTGAAGTCGCAATCCGCCCCAATCTTGGCGCAACGATTGCACCGCGGCTTTGTCAGGTCGCACTTGATGCGGCGCTTCTTGCAGGGCCAACAAGATCCCTCGACTACCCTGACTCTGTTTGTGGGCATCTTTGGGGCTCCAACGGTCAAGAGACGGCTAGCTGGATGTTTTATAAGGCTGCGTCAGTGTCGAATTGGGTACTAGTAAGCTCTCGGCGACGTTCGCGATAGCAGATAGTGACGAGTGAGTGGAGATCCAAGCCTGATGTTGTGGTTTGCTATCAGCAGGGTTCGGATTCCCGTCTGGTATCAAGGCCCCTCCTCCCAAGTGCTCGAGAAGGATTCGGTAGATGGGGAAGCTGTGCGGGGGAAAAGGGGGATGAGCACGGATGGGATCCGGGCTGGATTGACTCGACGAAGCTCCAAAGTTTGCGAGATTTGGTCCATCTAGTTTCCCCAAGGGGTTTAGCGGCAGTTAAAATGACCCGGTCTACTGTTTTGTGTGACAGCTGTAACTGGTATCCGGGATCAAACCTTGTTTTGCAGATCAGAGAACGCGTCGGAAGCCCATCCGGTGGGCGGTCATAATCCGCCTTGAACCCAATGGCTGCAAAATTTCGAGTAGACAAACAACCGACCCCGATAAAGAGTAAGCTCTTCACGACAAGTCAACAATGGACCCTGCAACGAATGAGACATGGGCTGAAGTCCAGATGACGCCTAACCCTTTGACAACTATGAGCACTGCCGTCGCACTGGTAGCTTGCTCGATCATAGCTCTCATTTTGGGCATCCGGCTAGCCCGGTCACCGCAACCAGCGAGTGAACCCTTAGAAATCACACAAGTACAACTTGGCCTCCCAGTGTGCAAAATAGCCGATTTGAATGATTCTGATTAAAGTTTCATAGCTATACATCTATCCTATCAAAGGGCTAGGAGGATGCGCTGTGCAACGAGCACATTTGGGCAAGTACGGCTTAGTCGGAGATAGGACGTTTTCCCTGCAAAAGGTCATTCGGGATAAGACCGACCCATCCAAGAAGACATATGAGACCATGTTCATCGGCTACTATCTCTATATGGCACTATTCCGGGCTTCAATTGAGCATGATGGAAGGCAAGAAAACGCGACCGATGGAGAAGTCATAGTAAAATGGCACGGCCGGGGAACGGAGCATGGCAAATCTATCAACGAAGCGAACATCACCACCACTGACGAAATCCGATTCGCCCTATCGCCAAGTACAGAGGGGCTAGAAGTGATCGACACAAGCCTTCACGTGAGTCAGGCCAAAGCCTACGACATGGGCGACGAACTTGCGACGTGGTTCTCGGAGCGCCTCGGTGTTGAGGCGAGACTCGCCTATATTGGTGACGGCTCGCGACCTGTCCTGGGGTCTTTGGCACCAAACAGCAAAGCAGGTCTGCAAAAGGCTAGACTCGCCAGACGTCTCAGGTCATTTGTCCCATTTGCCCGGTTTCCCGAGGAGCGTCTTGTCTTCAACGACCTTGCACACTACCTCGTCGTCACTGAAGAGTCCACCGCGGAGGTTTCTTCTCGCCTAGAAGGCGACTTGACGATGGACGTTCGAAAGTTCCGCCCGAACCTTGTCGTGAAAGGCGCAAGCGGTCCCTTTGCAGAGGACTTTTGGGGCGAGTTGACGTTCGACGGCGGTGTCCAGATGCCTGTGACGGCCAATTGTTATCGTTGCCAGAGCATTACTGTTGACTATGAAACTGGCAAGACTGCGAGTGACGATCGTGGATTGGTGTGGAAGAAGCTGAATAAAGATCGCCGAGTTGACAAGGGCGCCAAGTATAGTCCTGTCTTTGGACGTTATGGGTACTGCTTTGGATCAGCTGTTGGAGAGATACTAAGCGTGGGACAGAAAGCGCGAATCTCCCGCGTTAATTCGGACAGAACGACTTTCGGTAAGCTTTCAACCTTACTTCACTGGTAATGATCGAGTCCTTTGCTAATGAGGCTTTCTAGATTGGCCGCATCTCACAACGTTCGGCATCAACCAGAAGAAAAACTAGATCGAGGAATTAATACTTGCTTGGAAGATTTCTGGAAACACAACGGCTTCTACCAGGTTAGAAGATTATTATAGAAACCGGCATAGAACACAAAATCAACCAAAGTCATACCTCCGACGAGAGGGAAGCACTTTGGTTTCCGTGGACGCCCTATCAAGTCAGTGGGCGAATTGGATAGTCGGGTAGATCTTATTTATTACGGGGGCGCGAAAGTCTCCGAAAACTAGAATGCTAATCAAAAGCAGCCTTTCGCCCGGATCGGAGCCCTTAGGCCTCCCGGAGGAGGATGTTCCTAAAGGATAACGTTGAATCGTGATCGTGACCCGGGTCAGTGGCATGGGGGAGCTGACTACCCGCTCCGCTAAGGTGTGCCGGCGCTAACCTCCGCAAACTCCATATCCCACCCAGTTCGTCCGAGTGTTGGACCGGCCGGCTCAGCACCTGACATAATCCACCATGGTTAAGACTGAGGAGAACCGTAGTGCTGAACGAGTGGCCAACCAACTCACGGCCCGAGTGACATGTCTCGAGTATTGCCCAGGTGGCGATTGAACACAGCCTTAGTGGTCCATGCCGAGACAAAATTCTCAAAATTCTTCCAAAGGTCTTCAGGATCCAAGCTGACATGGCCTATGGCGCATATTTCTAATGTCAAGTGAATTCGGCCCGGGTGTTATGCAACGTTGTCACTCCGCCGAACCGATGTGCAGTTCACATCGAATCATCAGTGAGCATGGATACGAGAAGCTGTACTGCAATTTTTTAACAGATGAACTAGGACTAGCCAAGTCCGCATGAATTCCGCAAGTAACTCCACTAGGAACACCTCTTTCCAGTGACGAAGCAGCCAGCGCTCAAAGTCTTGTTTGACACACAAGTGAACAGAGGCGCAGATGACATGGCTTACTGCATAGCAAGAATTGAAAGTGGGGAGATCTGAATGTGTGTAGATCAGTGTTGTGCAAAACTCGTCCAATTTTTGGGAGAGTGTAGAATGGACGAAAGCATTCTTTCCCACCAAGTGCGAAGTACAGCGCCGTTACACCGTCCCTAGACAGCATGTTTGCTGGCTCTGTATGAATTATTCATCCATGTCATTGTATCTATACTCTTGAATCGGAATAATGCTTATTGCCATATCAGTGAATGAGAAATACCCTGGCGATCAACATTACGCTTGCGGACTTGGCGGTCGGTCTACAGCTCGGACGTTTGAGATACCCCGGATCCATACTTTGCGGTCCGCCATGCTCGAACGAAGATGACAAACCTACTTATGCATCGGTGATATCACCGTCTGAAATTTAAAACCGCTCGTACTCGCGAACATTGTTCGAACGTACTATTTATGAAGACTGTCGGACCCTACAGTCTAGGTACAGGTAGTAAACCCAACGATCTCTTCCAACATCATTCACGTCCCATATAAGCCATCCACCAACGATCAAACTCATCCCATCAGAACACATCGTCAACAAGTCTGAAATGTCTAGCACAACTTCTCCAGCTGAGCCGTGGTCCTTGAAGGGCAAAACTGCCATCGTCACCGGAGGCTCCCGCGGAATCGGCAGTGGAATTGCCGTACACTTTGCCCGCAAGGGCGTGGAAAACCTCGCCATCACGTACGTGGCAAACAAGGCCGCTGCCGATAATACTCTCGCACAATGTCGCGAATTGGGTGTCAGAAATGCTGTTGCAATCAAAGCGGATTCAACCGATCCCACAATCGCTCCAAAGATCATTAAGGATGCCTTGAACGGACTGAAAGTTACGACTATTGATATTCTGGTCAACAATGCGATTCTCGCTGATATTACCCACACCTCAGACGTCAAGACGCTGCAGGCCAAGGACTTCAACGACATCATGGTCGCAAACGTCTACACCCCGGTCAGCCTGACAACGGCTTTCATGGAGCATGCGCCCAAGTACGGTGGTCGCGTCATCAACATCTCCAGTATTGCCGGTAGAGTAGGCAATCCGAGCCCGATTATGACGTACGGAGCCACGAAAGCCGCGCTCGATAGCTTCACGAGGTCTTTTGCAGACACCTTTGCCGCAGAGAAGGGAATGACTTTCAACAGCGTGGCGGTTGGGCCCACGGAGACCGATGCGCTCGCTAAGGCGAGGGAACTGCATGCGGAGTTCATCGACAAGCAGATCGAGTACATGACTGTTGGTCCACGTCTTGGGAACACTGATGATATCGCCTATATCGTGGGATTTCTTGCGAGTGAAGAGGGACGTTGGGTCAACGGAGCTGCTGTCAGCGCAAACGGTGGACATCGTCAAACCCTTGCTCATTTTGGCTGATTTTATGGCTCAACATATTGGATCACCTATATGGACGTTTTCAGATAGAGTACATGAATCAACCACGGTAACTTACGAACAATACTCACTTGACCTCCACACCTCCTCCCATGTCCCATCATACTCGCCACGTTCATAACATTCCATCGTTCTCTGTCAGTCAGATATCATGATTCTGCCATCAGTTCAATCATGGAAGGGGTCGCCGCGACCGACAATCTGACGGCAACAGCCATTCATAAATTGAAGTATTACAAGAAGCCACAAGGCTGTTCAAGTCGTAGCTCATGTCTTCATGCCCGACTTGCGGAATACTGCGTAACGTATTCATGAGAAAGACGAGTCCTCACACTATTACAGTGGCACAGTGGTTAATCACATGCAATTGGAAGGCTAACCTACATGCCCCTCAGCGCTATTTCCACTCCGCAATGTACCTAGCTTATTTTAGCTCACTCCACCTTCGCATCGTGCAGCGCACCAAATACGGCGACTTCCGGGCTGCTCCGGCTCCCGACATCCGAAACGGCAGCCCGGGTATCCGGGTAGCTCTCCGTATACCTCTCAGCTCTCGTTTGAGGAGTTCACTCCATATTTCGATTTCGATAGTTTCTCTATTCATCATTTTTGAGATCGTTTATTATACTGGTTGTTGGTGTTGAACATGGTGTCTCACGACAACGAGTTGATTTCATCCAACATGCAACCGCCTCCAAGAAAGCTTGTCAACGTTGATCAGATCATCGAAAATGCCACACTCGCAGAGAAGGTCTCGCTACTTGCCGGTGAGAATCCCCCAAGAAAGGAAAATCATCAAGCTGAGTCCCTAGTACTGACAGCTTATGGGTAAAGGCTCCGACTTTTGGCACTCCACCCCTCTTCCCCAGCACAACGTCCCGGCCATCAAATGCACCGATGGACCCAATGGCGTCAGAGGCTCACGATTCTTCAACCCAGTGCCCGCGCTTTGCATCCCTTGTGGGAGCGGCCTGGGAGCAACATGGAACCCTGAGTTGATCGAGCAAGCTGGCCAGCTGCTTTCCAAAGAATGCGACGCCAAAGGTGCCCATGTCTGGCTCGGCCCAACGGTCAATATCATTCGCTCCCCGCTGAATGGTCGTGGGTTCGAGTCCTTCTCTGAGGACCCGCACTTGAGTGGAATGCTTGCAGCTGCTATCATCAGGGGGGTTCAATCCCGAGGGACTCTGGCAGCTCTGAAGCACTTTGTGGCTAATGATCAAGAGACCGAAAAGATGTCTCTCGACGTGCGCATGTCTGACAGAGCACTGCGAGAAGTCTATCTCTTACCTTTCCAAATCGCTTTGAGAGATAGCAACCCCAGAGTAGTGATGTCTTCTTACAACAAAATTGGCGGCCTACATGTTTCTGAGAACCCCATGATTCTTCAAGACATCCTGCGGAAAGAGTGGGGGTTTGATGGTCTCATTATGAGTGACTGGCAGGTCTCATGCTCCATTCGTTCAACAGTGTATCGGCTAACACGTGCAGGTACGGCACCTACTCTTGTGAGGGAGCGCTCAACGCTGGCGTTGACATTGAGATGCCCGGCCCTAGTCGTTACAGAGAGAAAGAAGCCCTTGCCGCAGTCTTCTCCGGCAAAGTACACCAACACACCATAGACGAGCGAGCGCGAAAAGTTTTACAGTTTGTCAATGACGCGGCTTCAGCTCGCGTCGAGAAGGAAGAGAGTATGCGGGATGTTCTTGAAGACAGGGCCCTGAATCGCCGTTTGGCAGCCGAGAGTATCGTGCTGTTGAAGAATTCTGCCAATCTATTGCCAATATCAACCGAAGACTGCAGTGAAGTGGCCATCATCGGGCCAAATGCTGAGCTCGCAGCTGCCTGTGGAGGAGGCAGCGCGAGTCTTCGACCATACTACACCAGTTCCGTACTCAAGGGCATACGGGACTCACTGCCTCCTACAGCTGAAGTACACCATGAGCCGGGTGTGTATGGATATATCTTGTTACCGCCTTTCACAGAAGACAACGTGTGCAATGATGAAGGTCAGCGAGGTGTGACGATCGAATTCTTCAACGAGCCGCATATCATCAAACAGCGAATGGCGTTTGATCGTGTTACGATACCGGACACCACCTATCAACTGATGGACTACGAGCATCCCCAGAAGGGAGAAACTTTCTTCATGTCTATGCGTGCGAATTTCGTTCCAGAACACACCGGCACGTACGAATTCGGTTTGGCGACTTACGGCATTGGTGACCTATTCATCAATGATGAGCTCGTCATTGACAACTCGACAGAACAGACACCGGGAGGCATGTTCTTCGGCAAGGGCTCAGCCGAAAGGCGAGCAACGTATGAGATGACAGCTGGGAAGCGGTACCACCTTCGCGTTGAGGCCGGCAGTGCTGCAACATCAAAGGTGAAGGGTGGATCACTGTTAGCGATCCCAGGTGGCGCGTGCCGGTTAGGTGGTTGCCGTAAAATTGATCCTGAAGAGGGCATCCAGAGAGCCGTCGAGCTAGCGAAGAGATGCAAGTACACTTTTGTGGTTGCCGGACTAAACGTAAGAAACTCTCAACGACTGTTGCATCCCAGAAAGCTGACGATAGTTACTCTAGGCGGACTTGGAAAAGGAGGGCAAAGATAGAGACACGATGAACATGCCGCCACAAGTAGATAACCTTATCGCAGCGGTTCTAGATGCGCAACCGAACACTATCGTGATTACTCAAGCCGGAAATCCAATCAGCCTACCTTGGAGGCATAGCGCCAGGACGATGGTCCACAGCTGGTACGGCGGCAATGAGGCGGGCAACGCCGTAGCGGACGTTATATTTGGACGCATCAACCCCAGCGGCAAATTGCCTATGACCTTCCCTGCTCGGCTAGAAGACAATCCTGCGTACCTTGCATTCGGCAGCGACAATGGCAAGGTCTACTACTCTGAAGACATCTTTGTTGGGTACCGCTGGTACGAAGCGAGAAAGATGGAGGTTGCATTCCCATTTGGGTAAGTTGACTTGCTTGTACTTTTGCAGAAGCCTGCAAGCTGACGTTCTCCCAGCCATGGTCTGAGTTACACTACCTTCCAAATCTCGGAGATGCAGGTATCGTCCTCCAGAGTTCACATCAGCATAGAAAATACCGGGCGGATGGCAGGCGCAGAAGTTGTTCGCCTGTACATCAACTACTCGACTACATCTCCCAAGTCAAGATTTTCGCGTCCCGTTCGCTCGCTTATGGGATTCGAGAAAGTCTTCTTGCAGCCAGGGGAGAGAAGAAGAGTCTCAATTCCTATCGATAGATATAGCACCGCTGTCTGGGATGAGAAGAGGAACAGTTGGTGTTGTGAAAGAGGCCGATATACTGCTTCAATCGTTGCAGGAGGCGCGATCTTAGATGGCTCCTTTGAGCTTGAGAAGGACGTGTTCTGGACTGGCCTTTGAGTAAAGGCCCCCATATGCGTGGTCGGGCTTGACCAGATGTTACATGTACATATACCTACGCACTAAGTATTTGTTCTATATAGAGACTTCAGACAAAGACCTTGCGTAATGCCTCGAAGCTTAGGGCTTGAGGATCTCATCGACAGCTCCATGAAGCCTGCTACAAAGTCATTGAAAACCGTTGCAAGATGACAATAGTGCCAAGAGCGTTGTGAATTTGGGGTTCCAGATCTCGAGATCGGTGCTACCAACGATCAAAAGCAACCAGAATCAGCCATATTCCAGTCGTTTTGGAGTGGCATGAAGGTATCTAGAAATAAGTCTGGCTGACATTCCCCGTAACTCGGCTCAAATCCCAGAGTCATTGATACATCGTATGGTGCCGCACTTGTACCGAAGCCAGCTTCTGAAAAGCCAAAGCCATTGGCTGTCAAATCTTGAGGCATCGGCATGTATGGCTGCGGGCCATGCTCCTTTGACATATCGGTCATCAGGAACTGCTGAGGTGTGACGCCATCTGCGCCCACCCCTATTGCCGGCGCATTTGACTGGTACTCATCCCTGTCCTCTTCACCGTCTTGTTGGAATTTCAGTTTCCGAATCTCATCTGTGACGCTGTATTTTGAATAGACCTCCGTTACCGACCCTTGCGTACCTCTCTCCACACCAGGTTGTTGAGCCCCGGTCGCCTCGTTGTCGGATCCTGGCTGTTCGGCCTCCCAATTGGATCTGAGCGGGCTGGAGTCCCCAGAGTCACGCTCCACATCGTGTATGAGATCTGCAATTCCACCTCGCAAAAGCTTGGTGGTGGGGTATATCTCAGCTGGCGTCTCCAGAATATCTGAGCACGCCTTCAGTTTAGATATCAAGACATCCTTGGGCAAGTTGGCGAACTGGCTTGATCCAAGCCGTGATATGACACGGGCAGAGTGGAAAGTACACATCACCAAGGCCGGATCTGTGATAAAAATGTCTCTCCCCATTTCATTCACTGTTGCCATGATATTCGCAACAGCAAGCGCATGCTGGAGACACTTGTCTCTGCAGAAAGAGACCAAGTCCTGAGGCAGAGTTTGCAACTCTTCCACGGGGAGACCTTCCCGAAAGCCCGGTATTGTAAACCTGTACATATCGCATTGGCACTGATGCCACCATGTATGGAACATGACGAAAGGGGTGCGTTGTGGGGTGTAGGCTCGGAGAAAGAGGTTCTTTTTGTCGAATGCAAATTGCGGCGGTAGCGAACGGCGCAGCGCATCGAGTTCGTCCACAAGTCCTTTGAGGAGCGAAACACATTCAACTAAGGGCTTCCGATGATGTGTGATTGTGTGCGATAACCTAGATATACTGGTTAGCTTGGGGCCGACAGACCGTCAAGGCAGCAATAAAATCTTGATACTGTACCTTTGTATTCGATCTCGAATGTCGAGGACTCGGATATTGTATGCCATCAGACCTAGCTCCAGAGAACATTGATTTTCCGGGGGCTTCAGAGGTTCTGTCATTACAGGAATATCCAGAGTAAAAGATCGCTCGTGGCAGGGAAGTTGGAGGTGTATTGTTTCCTTCGGACACCCGGTGAATTCTGTTCTTCCGCTGGAGTAAAGCGTCTCCATGGTGTAGATCCCCCACATGAGACGCCGGCGACGCTCTTGAGTAAGGAAGCTTAGGCGGCCATCTTCATAGTTGAGTCGCATCATGAATGCTAGTCTTGCTGCGAGGCAAGCAGATACTAGCATTTTACTAAATCGACGAGCGATGATGTGGTCCAGTGTAGTGAGCATAAGTGCCTCGATATCCGACATGGAAGGCTCACTGAGCCGCATAAAGAGCTGCATCTCCGACTCTTGGATCCATCTAGTCGCTTGTTGCAGACGGTTACTGTCCCCTGATGCAATATAGCGCGTTGTCAGACCACACATTGCCTTCAGAAGGCGCGGGTTGTATGTGTCCTGTGCCCAGCTTTGACAGAAGGTTGCCTTGTGGATGAAGCCATAGCAGGGTATTGGATAGACAAAGTCGAAGAAAGCATCGATGTGTTGCTTGATGATTGTCTTGTTCGAGTTCAACTCACTACATAACAGAACATATTTCAGTAAACTTCAGCACACAGGGAATTGCCAAGTAGACTTGCAAGGGACTCAACTTACAACCCAAGTGACGAGGCTGGGGAATGCGCAACGGAGGAATCTCGATTCATAGATGAAGTTCTATTTTCCATGCTGTTTTCCGAACCACCACGCACTGTAGCAGGTGGTTGGTGTCGGAGATCCGAATTTGGGTTTCTGGTTGATGAAGACTTAGACACATCTGGGTACTGGCAGTCCACACCCCGATGAGAGCATCGCCGACATGAGGGCTGCGTGCCACAGCACTTTGTCTTCTTGTCACGACATTGTATGCAAGCAGTACGCACGCGACGCTTCTCCAGCCTCAGATGGCTTGGGTCACTGCTGCTAGGAGTGGAAGAATTTGCAGCATCCGGCAACTGATCAGGTGCTGCAAAGGAGCAATGAAACTTGAGCCGACGACAATTTTCGCAACCTCCAGGTGCGCCGTCACATCGGACCTATCGGCTACGGGTTAGGGGACCCTCTTCCCGAAGGACCGCGGCAGGGAGACTCCGGGTGCAAGTTGACCGCGACTTACCTTGCGGTTCCGGCACTGGAAACATATCTGCAACCCTTTTCGGGGCCGACCCGAAGCGCGATATGGATTAGGCGTCTCCATGTTCGAGTCTTACCCGCAGTATTTTCTGATCAAAAGAGTGAAGATGCATAAGGTCGGGGGACGGGGTGGGAAGTCGGGGGAAGAAGAGATGACATGTCTTCCGCCCGAGTTCCGCGTTGATTTTGTCTTTCTCGCATCCGCCCGAGTTCCGGGCCCCGGGGGCCACCCTAGTTGGACGCCAAAATCCCAAGCGGGCGGTCACCGGGTTCCTCACCCGCAAAAGATTTTCGTTCTGGACTCTCTGCTGGTACGCTGGGTCGCTCCGTCGCAGCGTGGCTTTCTCCATTCCTCCACTCACCTCCAGGAATTCGTCCCTAGCGCCGTGAACGGCTTGCTTCCCCAGTGGGTTCCCCAAGTTGGGGAAACCTCCTCGGCCATGTGTTGGTTCGTCTCGTGCGTCTGATCGGACGACTCTATTGCCAGTGAAAGGGGTGATTAGCTCAGATCAACGGGGAGTCCTGGCTCCACTTGACAGGGAACGACGTAGTAACGTAATAACCACGAGGCGTAGAGTTTGATTCCTTCAACGCGTCTGAATACATAAAGACCGGGCAAAGAATGCATCGCCAATTTCAGCCCGAGCACCCTGTCACCTGAGGCAAGGAGCTGAGGTTATTCGAACAGTCGCACAAAGATCTACGAGGTCTCACTTTCGCGATGGCGCCCAACCGAATCCTCAAACATTTCAACGGCACCCTGGCTGCGGCCTTTACCGTAATTGCCGTCTCGACCTTCAACTATGGCTTCGATAACGCCGGCTACTCAACAACACAGGCGATGGACGCGTTCCAGCGCCAGTTTGGCGACCAGAACCCCACAACTGGCAAGTGGAAGCTTCCCACCGGCTGGCTCGCCTTGTTCAACAGTCTCAACTACATCGGCTTCGCGGCCGGGGTCATCATCGGTAGCCTCGTCAGTGCTCGCTGGGGTCGCCGGTGGTGCATGTTTGGAATGAGTGCGTGGGCCGTTATTCCTGCAACAATCGCGATTACTTCAAGTACCCGAGAGCAGATCATGGCTGCACGCATTCTGAACTGTAAGCGGTTTCTCCCTCGTCCTGCATCAGAGTTGCTGACTGGAGCATGCAGACATCTACGTTGGCATGGAACTCGCTGTGGTCCCAGTGTATCAGTCTGAGATTGTCCCCTCGGAGATTCGTGGTTTTGCAGTCGGCTCCTACCAATTCAGTCTCATGGTAAGCTTTTTGTCTCCAGTCAGTGGAGTAGTTAAGGTAACAGGCCTGCTCAACTAACAATTTTTTGTCCAGTTTGGCACTCTGATTGTCAACTCTATCTGCAGAGGAACCAGCACCCTGGATGGCAATGCATCTTGGCGGATTCCGATGGGCTTATTCTATGTCATTCCTGTCATCGTCATGGGCCTGATCTTCTTCATCCCCGAGGTAAGCATATGTCGACCACAACCCCCCATGCGATAGACTGCACCTACTGACTTTCATTCAAGTCACCTCGCTGGTTGTTGACCCAGGACAGAGTCGAAGAAGCCCAAATTTCCTTAAGGAAACTCCGAGCCGGCACTATCCCTGACTCCGAGATCGATGAACAGTTCGCCGCCCTCCAGTACGCTTTGAAACAGGAAGTCGAACAAGGAAACTATATGGAACTCTTCAAGGGTGTCAACTTGAAGAGAACTGGTATCGTGATGGCCATGAACTTTTTCCAGCAAGCGACCGGGCAGGCTTTCGCCTCTACCTACGGTGCAATCTTCATCAAGGACATTGGCACCGTTAACCCCTTTACCATGACCATCATCAACGCCGTCGTGAACCTTTGCATGGTCTTCGTCGGACTCTACCTGAATGATCGTGTGGGACGTCGGTATGTAAATCTGTACCACAGACCGTCTCTGTCGTGCCTTCTGGGCCATAAGTGTACTAATCTCATTAATCCATAGACCTCTCCTCCTGATCGGTGCAGTTTGGCAATTTGCCGCTATTGTAACCATGGGCTCTCTGGGTACAGTGGCCGAACCATCATTCGCCGTCAAGACGAGCATCGTGGCCATGCTAACGATCTTTGCCGCCGGCTACGTCTTTGCATGGGCGCCTCTGAACTACGTCGTTACGACCGAGATTCCGGCCCTCCGACTGCGCGACGCCTCTCAACGAACGGCGTCAATGGTCAACGTCTTGGCCAACTTCCTCGTCAACTTCAGCATCCCATACCTGCTCTACACTCCTGGCGCAGGATTAGGTTCGAAAGTCGGTTTCATCTTTGCGGGAATCCTGGTGCTGGCGCTTGTCTTTACGTGGTTCTGCATCCCTGAATGCAAGGGCAAGTCTCTCGAACAGATCGACCGGATGTTCAACGAAGAGGTCCCGCTGCGCAAATTCGGCAAGTACAAGGCGGAGGACATGTTTCAGGCTACGCCAGAAGACGGCGAAAAGGCCGGGATTGTTGTGACCGCAAGACACACGGAGAAGGCGTAACACGGAAGGAAGTCTGTGGTGGTGCTATATTCGGCGGTCACTAGATGATCTATCTTAATTCCTGAACCAAGAGCAAAACTCAGGGGCAAAAATCTCACGTTGCCAAATCTCAATGTTTCCCAAAGCTGTGCTGTGCCCGCCCCTTCATCAACTGATGAGAGGCTCAGCCCTTATGTAGGGGCTATTCTCTCTTACTAGTCGAGAAATAATTCTGGCCAGAATCCAAATTTGGTAGCAGAATGTGGTTGAATGTGGCCACGGAAAGGCTAGGTTGTTTCATGATGTGGTCTCATTAACCTCTTTGAGAATTGTTTCGATATGTTTATCCTCGAGGGTAACAGCGGAGTTCACTCCAGAGTCCTGTTGGTTCGGTCCACGCGGAGTAACCTGCCCGTTGCGGTCCAGCCCGAGGCGGCCCGGCACGGCGGTAAGAACCCATTTCTATTGACTGCATTCAAAACGTGGTTACATCGGCGTGGCCGGTTCCAGGATCGCGCTCATCTCGTTTCGCGACCACTGTCTTGGGTCTCTTGGGGTAGATAAGCATTCTTTCGTTGACGAACTAGATTGGGTCGTTCCTTGCCTCCTGAAAGGCCCCTGGTCCAACCTGCTACCAACAATATGGTGCTATTCGACTTCAAACAACCCCTGCATTCAGAATCGGCCGCTACATCTCAATTGAGTTGGTGATTCAATCAACGTCCACTTCGATTGCTCACCATTGCTTCACAATGCCAAGATCACAGCCTTCACACCACGTACCTGCGATGAATCTGCCTCGTCGGGTCAGCTCCCCTGGCGCAGAATTCCAAGTGTTATTGATGAAACCTTATCCCTATGCCAACTAACAATGGCAGTCACAGGGAAATGGGCATTGAAATTCTCTTCCTCTTTCTGAGTATAAAGATGTCTTAACTCGTCTTAAGTCTCGTTCCCGTGTTTTGTATTGATGAACACACACAGCAAGTCTTCACAGCACACCGAAATCGTCATATCTCTTTCTTATCTTTCCCTCTCATCAACCCGCAATTTATCACTCCCTTTAACTTTACAATAACTATTCGATTGAGAATGGCTCAACCAACAACCCTCTCAATCCCGTCTAGCTTGTTCGAGTTCGAACGCAAGTCGCCAGGTTTGCCCATATCTCCAGTCGGTACCTACCCCGAGTCACAGGGTACCGAGTCGCAGGTCGACTATGCCGCCGGCTCTGGAGCCACCTCTCCATGCTACGACAACGGTCACTATCAAGACAAATCTGATTTAATACCCGAAAATCCATTCGACAGTGAGAGCAGCAGGGTTCTATTCGATGCCATTGACAAGCTTCAATCTTGTGGAATCAGCCAAGAGCTGGCCATTCCTCAGGTAAGATTAGCATATCTCCTAGCACCTTATCAAAATTTGCAAGTTGATCCATATCTCAGCTTGTCATTGTCGGTGGTCAATCCACAGGGAAGTCGTCATTACTCCAGAGCTTGACCGATATTCCCTTTCCAGTCGGTTCAGGCTGCTGCACTCGCTTCGCGACAAGGATCGTGTCTCGGAGAACCGCGCCTGGAAGTCGTAGCTCCGTCAAGGTGACAATAGTAGAACCTGATGTTACTGACAAATTTGGCTATCCACCGGATGATACGTACAAAGAATTTCCGCCTTATGTAACTGATCATCTGGGCGTCGAAGAGTTTACGCAGCTGATGGAAAGTGTAAGCCCTGTCCAACCCTTCATGTTCCTTACACAGCGCCATCTCTTACAGACACTGCAGATCACCACCAATTACATGGGAATCAAGAGAGGCAAAGGACATTCGACGAAAAACTTTGCCTCTCAAGTACTTCGGATAGAACTGTCAGGTCCTTCCCGATCACATTTCAGCATTCTTGACGTACCTGGCATCTTCTCTTACGCTCATGATGTCAACGAGGCCGAAGAGCATGGTGTGAGACAGATGGTCGAGGAGTACATGAGACAAACAGCGAACATTGTCATGTCAGTTGAACCTCGCGGTTTGGCCATTCGTAAAGCTGATGAGTAGCAGTTGCGTGGCCGCCGCTACGGCTGATTTGTCTACGCAAGAGATCTTCAAGATGGCCGCCAATTTTGTCGACAAAAGTCGTCTTGTTGGAGTCTTCACTAAGTGTGACAGGTTGGAGAATCCAAACGAGGTCAGCTGCGACTGAGACTTCATGTTGCTAGATGTCTGCTAATCCTCGTCAGGTCATTGACATCGCAAGTGGATATGGCAAAGACTCTACAAGATCTATTAAGGATGGCTGGTTTGTAGTGAGAAATCGATCCGATGCCGACGATGAAGAGTTTGACTTCAAAGAAGCTGAACGCAAACTCTTCAGTCGCTCGCCTTGGGACAGGATCCCGGAGAATCGACGAGGCTCCGTACAGCTTCAGAAATATCTCGGCAATCTTCTCTGCGCTCAAATTCGAGGAAACTTTCCCGCGATTCAAGAGTCAGTCCGGAAGTTGCTCTCAGACGCCAAGGACAGCAGGAAGAGCCTCGGAGAGCCTCGCCCAAGCCATAGTCTCCGTCAGCAATATATCAGGGATGTGGTCGAGAAGTACCACACAGTGGCGACAAAGGCTCTCAAGAGCCCCGGATCGTTGGCCAAGGACAGTCTACGGGTCAGAGGATTAGTTCGTCGCGCAAACGAGAGCTTCACCGCTCAAATGCTTGCACGCGGGCATACGCACGCCTTTGAAGACCATGGAGTTGACCCTTTGACCCAGCTCTCTGACACGATCTCCGTCTTGTCAAATCCACAACCGGCCACAGCTCCGACACCAACCGGGCATGAGCAAGTTACTACGCCACCGACAACACCGCCAAAGAAGCGACATGCACCGCCACCTCAACAACCTACCAAGTCTCAGTCCCATCGCGGCGCGTCGTTCGTAGATGAAATCCGTGAGCAGCTTCACATCTGGCAGACAACAGAACTCCCCGGGATGGTGAACACAGAGGTCATTCAGATCCTCTACAAAACGCAGTCAGAGCAGTGGCAACGGATTGCTGAACAGCACATTGAGAACATTGCGGACGATGTAGAAAGGGCTTCTAATTCGATTCTCGAGGATGTCTGTTCGCCTGACAATTGTTCAAAAATTCTGTGCGAGGAGCTAGCTCGAGCCCTCACCCACTTTCAGCATGAAGCCAAGCAGAAAGCTTTACGAGAGCTCAAAGAGCACTGCCGGCGCGAGAGAGAAACTCACCTCCAGACGACAGACGCAAGGTTTCACGAAAGGCTGCAGGCTCTACGGACTGTTCGACTTCTCAAAGCGATTGGCAACAGCTTTTCTTCGTTCAAAGGTCTGGACCTGAGCAGCTCCAAGGTTCTCTTCCACCAGTTACATCACTCAATCGAGGGCAACATGGTTAACGATGTGCATGACGTTGTTAAAGTTTACTACGAAGTAAGACGAGCCCCTTGCAATGCCACACCTTGAGAAGTTTCTAACACACCGTCTAGCTTTCTCTCGAGGCCTTCATCAGATACATCACCAACGATATTGTCGAAGATTTCGTATCTTTCTCCAAGGGGCCCCTTTTGGGATTGTCCACGGACTGGGTCTTCACGTTGACTGATGAAGAAGTTCACAGGCTCGCTCGCGAGGATGACGAGACAATGGAGAGACGTTCGCACTATGACGGAGTCATTGAGAAGCTGCAAACTGCGCATGAAATAGCCGAGAAGGCTAGAATTCAGACTCGGAATCTTGGGGACATGTGAGCTTACCTCACTGGGTGCTCGAGAGACTCGAAAGCCGTGATCATGGTGTATGATAGAAGTTGGCTTCCAGGTGTTAGGAGATTGATAGTTCAGATCCATCGATTTCTCCCGTTTTCTATACACTTCTCAAGCATACATATCAAGCCTGATTGTCCGTAACAATTTGGTGTATCTCACTTAAAGAACACGAATCAACAGTCTGGGATGGTATTACTAGCGAAGACGCACCTAAAGCAGGAATGGCTTCTCTTGCATAAGTCTAGAACGAACACCCTGTGCGGATCCTGACTCACTTGCCCAGAAGTACGGTCCGTAGATTCGCCAACCGTCGCGAACCCTGTTTCTGGATGGCCCCGAGTCAACGTGGTTCCCCATGGGGTTCGTCACGATCCATGATGAAAAGGCCCAGATAGAGTTTTCCGGTGGCGTGTTACCCGGGCCGGAGAGTCAAGTGAAGAGTTGCGGAAAATCGGCTAGAAATTGGACCCCTGGGAGCCGCAAAGATGCTACCAACAAAAGTAAGTAGTGCATCAGGAACGCAGCCGCTTACGGATACAGGTTGGGAGGCCGAAGCGGCGCATGAGCGGTTGCACATTCCTGTCCGGGATTTCCTCTTGGGGCAAGCCGAGACTGAGACCGTGCAAAGAAACAAAAGAGACTCTTGTCAGGACCCGGTTAGAGATGAGATGGCGTGGTTTATGGTGGTCCAGGCTGTCTAGTTGCGTCGCAATGGTGCCTTTTTTGCATTCCGGGGACAGGGACGGCAAAATCCTGGGGGACATGCGGGGTAAAGTTTACGGAGCAACCATCAAGAGGTAGTGTGTCTGAGGCTCGCGAGGCCGGACAGCACTCCGCCGGTGGCTGACTGATTGATTTGATGGTCGGATTCCTGCAGTCGGCAATACCAGTCTGCTGAACGGGTGAATTTGGATCTTGGCGACTACTGAATCCAAAGTGTAAAGTTTGGTTTTGCCTCCGAGTCAAACCCGGGAGTTGCTGTAAGCGCTACCTTAGCCTGCTGGCAACTCCGGGCAACGTCCGGGAGGCAAACTGGAACCAATGTTGTTCGAGTGGCAATGGACTAACTGACGTCGACGGCAATAGTTAATCCCGAGACACGGCAGTATCAATCAAGAGGCGTTACGAACGTTGGCCACGATCAAAGCAGACGAGACGTAGATTCATGGTATTTGGATAATTGAATCATTTGTTGTGGTATCTATGCTTGAATCTAGATAAACTAGGTAGTGGTATCTCAACAACAGTCGAAGTCCTACAGACTTCATAAGAGAATAGGAATTAATGACATCGGATATCAATCCGTGCCCAATTTGAGAAGGCCGGAAACTGCCCGGCAAAGGACATAATTCGTAGAGATGGGGTATATCGGTTTTGGGCCACCCTGGCCAAGTTCCGCATCCCGACCAGGGGGCTCAAGTGCGCAATCTTGAGGGCGGGACTGAACCGCAAATTAAGACTTCTCCTCCTTCTCAACGTTCTGGGTCTCCTCGTCCTGGCGCGCCCACAGCCCGTTAGGCTCACCACTGCTGGTGCTGCCCTCGCGACGGTTCTCGCGGGTGGTGGCGTGACCAGTCTCCTTAGCGTCGTCGTAGGTGATGAGAAGCTCGCCGTTCTTGCCGTAGCGGTGAGGTTCTTTGCGGGCGACGTCGACGACGTCGAAGGCACCCTTGAGTCCGGGGGAGGCCTTAGCAAAGATGGAGTCCATTTCTTCAAGAGAGCGGTAGGCGGTCTCGGGGAAGAAGAAGTAGGTGACAGGAACGATGATGGCGTTGATGATGGCGAAGATTGTGTAAGTGTGGTGCTTAATGGAGTCGAAGGCGACAGGAGTAATCATGACGACCTGTAGTTCCAACGTTAGTGTTGACTCGATAGTAAGTAGGCTCGGAAAGAAACGTACCATAAAGTTAAAGATCCAGTTGGCGGAAGTAGAGAGAGCGTTGGCGGGAGCACGAATACGCAGGGGAACGATCTCGGCGGGGTAGAGCCAGGTCATGCCGAGCCAGCCAACGGCGAAGAAGGTGTTGAAGACGAAGAGGAAGACAATTCCAGTGATCTGGCAGGCGTAGGTCTTCTGGGAGTTCACACCAGCAAGGATAGCCATCGTAGCAGCCTGACCAACAGCGCCGAAGAGCATGAGCTTGCGGCGGCCAACGCGCTCGACGAGGAAGACGGCGGGCCAAGAAGCAATGAAGTACTCGGTACCGTTGAGAGCAGCCAGCAAGTGAGCCATGAAGCGGGTCATGCCGAGGTTGGAGTAGATGACGGCGGCGTAGTAGGTGATCAGGTTGATACCGCAAATCTGCTGGAACATCTGGTTGACGTAGCCGAGAGCGGCGCGATGGAAGTTGCGGTTCTTGTCCATGGTGAAGAGGTCGCGGAAGCTGCCCTTGGACATCTCTTCGACCGTCTCCTTCATGACAATGTACTCATTCTTACAGTATTGATCGTCCTCTGGCAGATCGGCGATGGCGGCGATAACCTCTTTGGCCTCCTGATCACGGTTCTTGAGAATCAACCAGCGAGGAGACTCGGGCAGGTTCCAAACAAAGGCGAGGATGAAGAGACAGAAGAGAATCTGCAGAGCCAGGGGGAAACGCCATGCGACAGAGCCGGGAGCAAATGACATGCCGAGGTCGATCCAGTAAGAGATCATGATACCACCGCTGATGAGAGCACCCTCAATCATGACGAGCTTGCCGCGCTTGTGCGATGAGCAAGTCTCAGATTGCCAGGTAGGGACTGTTGATGTGTTGCCGCCGTTTCCAAGACCAGTGATGATACGTCCGATGATGAGATGCTCGATGGAGAATGCAGAAGCCTGGAGAGCAGCTCCGATGACCATGATGGAGGTACCGAGGATAATCATACGCTTGCGACCAAGGGGGTTTCCGATGAAGATGGTGATAATGGCGCCGAGGAAGCAGCCGAGGTTGTAGGAGGCGACGGCAATACCTTGGTTGGTAGAGCGCATGCTCTTGATGTGAGGAAGAAGGCCGGCCTCTTCGGGGTTGATGGAAGGGAATTGGGACTGGAAGGCAGGCAGAGTGAGAATACCACCAGTGACACCCTGGTCTGGATGAGAATGACAAGTTAGTCCATGTTGTTCGGCCGTTTCGGAGTCAAGTCCGTGATATGAGATTGAAACCTACCATATCCGAAAAGCAAGAAATCACATCCTGCGATAATACTGATGGCCCAATTAAGGCTCTTGCCTCTGAGGCCGAAGTAGTTGAGCTTGCCCATCTTGGAGACTCTTTCACAGCGGACAGTATTGGATCGACGGGTTCCAAACAATGTCGAGGGCTGTAGGTCGTAGATCGGTTGGTGAAGGGGATGAGGTTGAGTCGGGATGAGAGGTAACAACAAGAAGATCAGATGCGAATTGAGATGGCGAACGTGTCGACCTTATAGATGAAAATCCCAAACCTACCGCGACAGGGTAAAGATCGGCAATTTCAGCGCGACGCCAGGAATTACTTCTTTCTCCTCACCACTCACGCTCATACCACAAGACGCAAGTACATGCCCGAACCTGCACTGACATGGTAACATGGCTACTCGTGCCAGCCTCGGACCCTGGCGTTGGTGCTGTTTACACCGAACCCAGAAAACCCCAAGTAGCCAATCCCCAGCCGTCCCACGAAAGGCTGCCCCGATTTCCCCCAATCCCCGTACGATCCAAGATCCCTCTGGAGGGGAGGGGACATTCTCCGACCTTGAGGAGGGGGGTAACGACTCCACATCCGGTTCCACGGGGGTGGACAATGGGGCCCGAGGGGAGGACACAAAGAACGGTTGGTGACATGTCGTCAGGTCCGGCCAAGACGCCGTCATGGAACGCGCGGGGCCGCTTGTAGCCAATACGGCGCCGGGAAGGGTAAGAGTTTTGCGGGTTCGTACATTACAAGACGTTGCAATACGGTGGCTTCACCGCTCTGAGACGCGAACACTCGTGGAGTTTCCGTCCTATCGCGCGGCAGAATTCGGAGAGACACCGACGCGAGAATGGTACCTTTGCCATCACGCCCGTGCTTGACCAAAGGATAAGGCAGCACCAGTGCGAAAGCGGAGCAAAGAGTACCCAAAAGAGCCGCAATTGTGTCCATAATCGTACATTGTCGGTGGAGTTTAGATGGAGAAGTACTGGAGACTACGACGTCATACCTTGAAGACTTTGATAGCAGACTGATAAGTAATGCAAGGGAAAAAGTACCTCGAGACTCGAGAGTGCCCTTTGTGCATCTCACATCTAAACTTGGGCCAATACCGTTGGCTCAGTCAGACTTGGGTTGGAACTATTCCTGTCCGAGCGGCGCCGTCTGCGAGTCAGGGGGCCCTGTGCGAACCCTGCGGCAACCTTGAGCCGACCACCGCCGCCCTCCCTCTCGAGAAGCGCCGAGGACACGGGACTTGGCCAGAGGAAGAACTGAGAAGGCAGGGTAGCATCGTAACCGCTGAGAGCGCTTGCAGCTGCGGATTCTGACTCTCAATTATCTGCTCGCCCGGCCATTGTCATCTCTCTCTTTGGCTGCTTTGGCAGATTAAGTTGGACCTGCGGTCGTGGGGACGACGGGCGACAGAACCAGGTTTCAAGTTGAAAATACTCGCACGCGATTTGTCAATGTCGGCAGTTGTTGGTAGCAAGGTGCGTCGAGATTGGTGGACCACATGACGTACTGGTTCAGGCTATATTGATTTCTGGAGGTTAGACTTTAGGTTTTGTTTTGTCTTTTTCTCCGACTCGTGATTCCCATGTCGCTTTGGAGTAATTAAGCAGATGCTGAACCGAGCACATGTCGTTAGGATGCTAAAAGCTTGACTAGATGCTAAGAATAAGCACTACAAGCACAAGCCTTGACAAGACGAACCGCGGGCATTGGCAGCTATGCCAATGTTCTTGTCCATTGCTTGTTCAATGTTTATCCCTTGGTATTGTGAATCCTCATTTCTTATGGCTTCCAGTCTCCAAGACCAATGGC